ACATCATTTGGAAAAGAGGAGATTGGAAGAGAACATTGGGGTTGGATGGAAATTCAGCTTAGGAAATGAAAGAAAGAAAGTAGAAAGATGGAAGGAGCGATGTGTGACAGAGGGGAGATTGCGCTGCATGGTAGAAGCTCAAGTATTAAGGAGGTGGTTATTTTTTATGGAATATCTGGATATCTGCATCAGCGCCTGGATCAAACCCACATCAAGCGAAGAAGCTTGGCCAGATGAAACAGGAGCGGAGGAAAGGAACATAAATTATTTCACCTGTCTTGTCTCCACTGTGGATATTCGAGGAGGGCTGTTAAAATCTGATGTCTGACCAGTCTTCCACTTCCACTGCGATGGATGGAAAAGGGTGAGGGGACTGCTGGTAGGAGAGAGGATAAAGTAGTCTTCCACTTCTGCTTTGGAGGCGTCTGTCCTCCGCAGACCATTACGATGCTGCTACATTACCACGGAAACTCTTCAATCGGTGCTCGGGACAGTAAAGAAAGCAGTTTTGTTCCATTCGGGAGTCTCGCTGCCTTTTGCTGTCTCTGTTCCTCATCAGCTGGTGACAAGGGGAGAGGACAGAGGATTTTTGGGGAGTGGAACTTTTCGCCTGCTTCTCCTCTCACTGACTTCATAGCCTCAATACAGAGAAACTTTCTCACCCTTGATTCCTAGATGTCATGTAGTGATCTCTCACATCAACATGTTCAGACAACAGTTCTCTACATAACTTGTTTACCAAAGCTACATATTTTTGATAAGACAAGTATCCTAGCTACTTGTTTTCATTTTATTTGAATTGTGTATGTACAAGGCAGGTACTATTACTTACTAATGCAGCCTAATTTCGTCATATCTCAACTTAATTTTGTATTATTGTGTATGTTTTGAAGCTAGCTCATTAGTCATGTCAGGGCAGCCGTTCTCTTTGTTTCTTTCCTCTGAACCACATCCATGCACCTCAGTTCTGTACTGTTTACCTTTTGAGTGTGCAGTTCTGTTCTCCTGCGCGATAGATTTTGAACATAGGATAACTTCTTTTCTTTTTTTTTTCCATCCTCAAAAATCCTCATGAAACAGGGGAGTGCACACTAAAGGTGCGCCGTCTTTGACCACAGTATCTGTTGTTTTCAAACAGGTCACACTGTCCTGTCATGTATCTTCTAACTTTACTGCTATATCGAGAGCCTGTGTACATAACTCCGAGCTCAGTCTAGGTGCCTGCCTGCCTGGCCAGTGCCATTACTATCTAGAATGCTTATTCTGAAGCGCGTTGGTGAGTGTGAAAGCCCATGTCGGTCTTTGTATGTCTGAACTCAGCCAAAGAGCATATCGTACGTCCCGTATGCCTACATGCATGTGTCTGTGCAGTCCAAGTCTACGAGTATCAAATGTGCTTTTTTCATCATGAGCAGAAGGGAATCTCCTCTTCCTCTTGCAGATTCCCACACCTCAAACATCGTAGCTTAACTTTGAGTTTAAAATCTGGAGCTTATTTTAAAGGAATAGTTTGACCATTTGAAAAATGCGCTTATTTGTTTCCTTGCTGAGAGTTGGGTGAGAAAATAGACACTTTCATGTCTGTACGGCAGATATGAAGCCTACAGCAAGCAGTTGTTTGGTTTAACGTTTGTACGGGTTAAACAAACTAGGGCTGCAACTACTGATTATTTTTATCATCAATTTAATCTGCCTATTATTTTCTCAATTAATCAGTTGGTCTATAAAATGTTACCCCAGCACACTCTCCTAAAGTTTGAGACCATATCTATAAATTGCTTCGTCTGACCAACATTTTAAAAATAAAAAATATTTGGTTTTCTATCACTTAAGAGAAAAGAAGCAGCAAATTCTCACAATTAATTAATAATCTGATACTAGAGAGTGTTGGGTATTGATTGATTCAGGTCTAAAACTAACTAGATGATAAATGTTAATTAAGGTAGGTAGGTGTTACCTTTGAATAGAGCTGGGTTTCCCTCTGTTTGTAGTCTTTATGCTAAACTAAGCTAAGCTAACTGGCTGTTGGCTGCAGTTTCTCATCTAATGTACACACATGGGATTGGTATTGGATCTTCTCATATAACTCTCCATAAAGAAAGCAAAAAAGCTCATTTCCAAAGATGTCGAACTCTTCCGTCATGCTTTTAACATCACTGGAGTACAGCAATGAGGCCTCAGTGCCAGAGTATCATAAAATCATGAATATGAAACACAGTGTACACTGCACTGATGACACACCAGCTATGTAAGCTGAATGTAATCTGACTTTTTAAATCTTCTACCCGCTATATCCTCAAAGGAAAACCCTTCATTTGTCATGTCATTATGCCAGAGTCTACCTTCAGTGCTGATCTCCAACACTTGGTCTGACTGTGTGTTTTGTGTTTTCTATGCTGGTAGTTAACTGAATGTGTTCATCAAACAAAGGCGTCCGAGAGAAGGTCTTGCAGGAATGTTGAGTACAATTTGTCCTGGGTTTCCGCCCAGTAAGGGAAACATAGGATCATAAAACATTTGTCCTTACTTCAACACATTTTGCCTTCAATATAAAATTTTAAATTTAGATATGTATTTGTTTATAAAAAAAAATGTAATTTTAATAATCACCAAGCATGTTCTTTATAAGGAATGTTTTCCTGACGAGTTGAATTATCTATTTTGTTTTAATGTCTATGTGTAAAATGCTATGGCCCTCTGATATATTTTACCTGTTTTGCTGGATCGCCCAGGGACAGTTAAAATGACAACATTTGTTAAGAGTTGTTTCTTGTGATTATGATTTGATGGACAAAACAAACAAGCGCGTCTGTTGTGGTGTCGATTTGTGTGAAACACAGTGCCTTTATCATGTTATCTTTCAAAATATGTTTATTGAACCAATCCATGCTTTTTTTATTTTCAGTCAGTCCCGTTGTATTTTTAGCTGCAGTCATGCTTGCTCACTTCTGTTCTGATAGACTCTCTGCTGTAAATATGTACATTACCATTTCATACGTCTTCAGACCTGCACCACATGTCCATGGTGTTTCTGTTTTTCAAAGGTAAACGCCAAGATGTCACTGTGCTGGTTCCACTTGTACATTTCTTTTAAAAAGGTACTTCATAATAAAGATGTTGAATAAACCTTTCCTTGCAGTTATTTTTGAGGTGGTATTTTCAGTATTCCCCCACCTGTCTTTATTCACTTACGTTTCTTACTCTAACACACAACAGTGCACATAAATTGTCATACATTCATGAGTGGAAAGCAACAACATGAACTCAGGTACTGTACTGCAGTAAATTAATTAACTGCTACTGAACATCCCATGAAATCTTATCCATGTTTATTTTGTGACAGATTCTGCCACTTACCTCACAGAAAATGCCAAATATTTATACTATATTTATTTATACTATTTATACAACTTAAATATGTGGAGTGGTTAGACTGGTCACCTACATAAAATTACATCATCAATAATATCAAAAGGACCCCTCTTTAGAATCAGTTCTTTTTAGGACCTACATAAAAATTAAATGTAGTGTGAATTAAAAGGTGTTATTGCTGTCAATGAATCCTGCTATATGTTCTCATTAGCCACTTGTTTATTATTAGGTGAAATTGCTGTGAAAGCAACAGTTACTAAATTTTTGAACCTGAGAAGAACATATTGTGGGCAGCTAACTCGGTGCTCGGCCGGGCTGAGAGAGGGGTGAGTGGAGGCTGATGATTTTAACAAAACATTCCCAACTTAAGGTCCATGTACAAGCCTTTTGCAGAGCTTTTACCCAAATCGCACGGTCAGTATTTTTTTCAGTCACACTGCTATCTAGAAGGACTGGACTCTCAGGACTGAATATGTTGTTTTTTCCTTTTTTCCTGAGTAACCAGGTCAAAGTGAAATACTATGTACGTTTAACCTTTTAATTTAATAGCAGTTAATTTGATAGTAGTTACAAAAAATATTCAATAACCAAGTAATATTGATGTAAATAAGATATTGCAGTAGTGTAATTACTCAACGATTCTTCTCAATTATCTATGACAGTAAACGCAACATGGTCAGACAAGGCAACAATTTTGAATATGTTACCTTGGGCTCCCAGGAATAATTATGGGCATTTACTACTATTTTCTGGCATTTTATAAACAATAAATTGATTATTAAAGTAAATTACTATTAGACCTATGGTTAATGAAAGCAATTGTTGGTTGCAGCGTCACAGTGCTTTTGTGATGGAGTGATGCTACCTTGGTGCAGGTTTTCTATGTATTTATTACTTGATACTCAGAAACAATGGAAACAATTTGATAAAATCAGCTTTTACAACAAATCGGTGAAATATATATAAAGAAAACAGTTAAGGTTTAAAAGTAGATTTTGACACAGGGTCCCTCTACAAGACCAGATGGAGGACATATCATAGCTGATATTTTACTTCAGTGATGAAAATGAATTTGCTTCAATTAATCACATGTAGATCCAAAGGTTATGGAGTGAACCTGAGGTTTTTGCTTGGTAAACCAGCCTTCCCGAGTAATATATATTTTCAGGAGTGATTGTACTGTTGAGTTGGTATTTTTTAAACAAAATATGTGTGACTTAAGTGTAGCATCTGTTCTTCTCTTGATGCATGCATGAAAATAATTCAGAAACTGTACCTGAACGCCTCCTTGTAGATTTTATTTTTCTGAGTTAACGCCATAGGTTAACGCTGAGGATATTTGGTTGACGCACGACGTGAGGTCAAAGTTCAAATGTGACGTAAACACGTACGCAGACGCGCACTAGTTAGAAAGCGGAGTTGGACGAAACATTTCGGGAACAAGTTTTTCTTCATTTTTTTTTTAAATTCTTTGTTTGTTAGCAAGTTTATCTGACGCGGAAGCAACGCGAATAGTCTGTCTTTAATGTATAGAGAATTTATGAGCCCTGGACGGCTACACAAGCTGTTAAGTAGCTAGCCAGTTGTAAATATTAGCATGTCAGCTAGCTGAGAGAGTTAGCCCAGGAGTTGCCAAGCTATGGACCCGTGGAGTGCTGTCGCGGATGAAGTGGCTTTGGAGGGACTGGATGGGATAACTATTCCCACCCTGTGGATTCGACTAGAGGATAGACTGCCCAGGTTTCCCCTCAAGTTTGACGACTGCACGAAGGAGCTTATCTGGAGGTCACTTATCAGCAACACCGACCTGAAATTCTATGAGCTCCCAGAGGAGAGAGGGGATGTTGTGTTGTCAGACAGGTGAGTTTATCATGAAAGGCTCAGTTCTGTCCACATGAACGAACTGAACTGAGCTGAACTGAAGTGTTTAGAAAGAATTATATACTTCCCTAACAAGATAATACACAGAACAAACCCTCAGAAAAACAGCAGTGTGCAGGTTGACACCGTGTGCTCTTGCAGTGTTACAATAGTATACAGATCAAAAATACCATGTGCAAATTTAAGAAAGTTTGTATTGGGACTATCTTCACTGGAAGAAATACACACAGTTGCCAACTAACAGAATCTAATACAAACATCCTTACAAACAATCCTCCCTTCATGAATGTTATGTTCGGTTTTTGTTGAAACTGAAATGTAGCATCTATCTGTTGTATAGCCTACCCTCATGAATTTGAATAACGCAATGCAGCTCAACAGCACCACAAACTATATCCTCCGAAATGATTCTACAGTTGAATCTACACCTCAGGATGACAACATTATAGACTCTAAGCATATATGAATAATATATGTTTAATGAAAAAAGGGATAGATTACACAAGCTGTTATGTTTCAGTTTTCATTTTCATACATATATTCTGCCAGGGGTATTTCTGTTATCTCTGTTATGTTGAACTGATCATTTTGACATGATGCATTATGAAGCTCAAAGTCTTTGGACATTTTCATGGACGTAACTTTGTGTGCTTTTAGTCTGAGATTGTTCGTAATGGTTTGTGCTCCGCTCCTTTGAATGAAGGGAATTCTTAAACTGGTCCTTACTCTACTTCTGTAAAGTTTGGGGACAGAGGTATATTTAAGATGATTGAGGCAAGAGAGGCTGAAATATAAAAATCCCAAAATACTATGTCTTACATTTCCTCACTAGCATCTTTGATTACACCTTCTCCATCTGCTTTGTGCCATGGGCATCTTTCAAACTTAAGATCCTTGTTTGTAACACTGGCTTTCTGTCCAAAAAATAACCTTGACAATGTCAACCTGAGATGACATCATTTGAGATTATTTTGAAGTGTTCAGCAATCACATACAGGTGTAATGTAAAGACAGTGAATCAACTTTCTTTGTAGGATATTTCATGGTCCATGTGCTTCTTTGTATTAATGTTTGGATGCCATAACATAGACTTTGTGCTTTGTGCATGCCTGTGTTTGTTTTCAGGTTTAAAGACACTGATCCAGAGGCAGGCACTGAAACAGCACAGAAGTTTCCTGAAAGAAAGAAAGATGTCTACCCCGTCCATATTATTCTAGAAAACAAGGATGGGATACAGGGCTCGTGTGCCTTCTTCATAGACAGGATAGACATCACTAAGCATGTCCGCTCCAAGTCCCTCACCGCATTGGTCAAATTGGAGGAGGCTCTGGAAAGGTTGGTAGATATTGTTTGAAAAGTATTCAATGTAGCAACAGCTTTTTCCAAACAAGCCACCACCTACACACAAAATTGATATGTGCACTGATTTAAGCATTCTGCATTTGAAAAATTTTGATTTTTATTGAGGTCATATGAACCATGAAAACAAGCATTATGTTATTAATTAGATATGGAGCAAGGAATGTTAGATTTTATCAAAGAATTGTGTAATATTTAATAACTCTATCAGTGGGTTGGTTAGAATAATATAATAACAATGAATTGCATAGAGTTGTAAAGTTGGCAAACTTTCAACCTTTCTCTTAATTAAATACTAATAAATGCTAAAAATAAATGTTGGAACTAAAGAAGTCATTGACGTGATAGTGAACATATTTATAGAATCTGCTTGAATCAGTCTGAATTTTAATTACAGATTGCTGGTAAAAACACACACACCAAAAATCCTGTAATACCATCAAGTCTTAGTTACAAGTGCAATGGATTCAGTAAAATTAGAAGCACCTAGAAACCCTCAGCAATGTCAGCTGCTTATACTGAGCATTGTTTAGTTATGACATACAGGCTTTAGACCTTTATCAGGTAAGATTCCTTGACTGATTGTAAAAATTTAATTAAAGCAGAAAAACAGTTTTTTCTGATTCAGTGTTTGTGAAAAATGAATTAATTGTAATTCCAGATTATACTCTTCTCAGCTCAATGCATACTTATTTATGTATTTATAGTATGCCTGTACACTTTCCTCTTTTAGTTTAAATGGCATTCTGATAAATGAACAATTACCCTATATTTCAGATTGTCTATTTTGACTTTACTATTTTTCACTCAAAAACCTACAAATTAGTAAACAAAGAGCACAAACAATAAATTAATCAAATCCTAAATTAATCACAAGAACCAAAGTGAGATAATATAAGTTTACTGCAAATTGTACATTTGTCTTACGTTCCACTTTTTCTCTTCTTGCTAACCGCCTCCTCCTCAGGTATGGCCGAAAGCTTGTTGTGGTGGCATCTCAGTCTCTGCGATTCCGGACTCTGATCGGTAGCGAGAGTGATCCCGATTTAAAACTGAACGACGACTCTTACTGTGTGTTGGAAAGAGTGGGCCGAGCCCGCTGGCAAGGAGAGCTACAGAGTGATCTACATGGATCCTCTTTCAAGTAGGAGACACATACACACTCATGTAGCTCAGGGTCGTTACTGTTCTGGGTTTGCTTTGTCACAAGCCGATGTTTTCAGTTGTTTCATAACAGCCAGTGTTGTGTTTCAACAGGACCGATGCTCGAAAGCTGCACTACATGAGGAAGTCTCTTGTCAAGCATGGACTCATCAGCATGCAGTCTCATGTCACACGAGTGAAGTCAGGACAGCAGCAACACTCCATACTTCTGCTGCTCAAACGCTTCCACATAAACAGGTTTGTTTAGTGTCTTCGTCTCTTTTTTTCTCTCAACAGCGTTTCACTGTTGTGCACATATGGAGGAAAGATGAGGGAACAAAGCCAATGTTTGTGCTTTTGTAAAAGTAGTATTAAGATTTTCTTTGTCTTTGTCTCTCTTTTTGGAGAAATTCCTCTTAACCCTTTCTCCTCTTTCAGGAGGTCTAAGTATGACATACTGATGGAGTATGTGTCCAATGTCCTCCAGCAGTTACCTGGTCAGTTTGCCACTTTGATCACATTCAAAGAACAACTTGTGAGTATCACTCTGTGAGGGTCTGTCGGACTGTGTGTGTTCCTCTGTCTGTCTGTGGTGATAATAGTGTGTTTTCTTGCAGAACATGAGTGACAGTACTTTTAAGCGTGTGTGTCAATACATGCGAACTTCCAAGTTGGTCGAGTTTTGCCAGTACCCTCTGGAGGACTTGGATCCCAGCGCTGGGCCCTGCACCACCAAAAAAGGTAACATGCCCCCGAAGCACCAGTGAGAGTTAGTGAAACAGTTGAATTGTACTAATTGAACTAACTAATAGTCTTTTGAAATGTTACAAATACTTTGTAAACTCTCTGTAGGCAGACTATCCAAATAAAGTGTAACCTAATAAAGTGATGTAATAAATAAAAGAATTTACAAACATTATTTTTGATGCAGAAATGCATATTATAGGTATTATATGTTATTGCCATATGCCTGACACGAGCACTGAGTTATCGTACTTGTGTTTCCCAGGGAATAAAGTGCTTGTGCGCTGTTTGAGGCTGCTGAAGCCTTATTCAAGGAAGGGTGTCACTGATGATGACGATGATGATGAGGACGAGGAAGATGACTCCGGAGCAAGAAGAGGAGCTTTCCCTCAAGAGGCGCGAATCATGGAGAAGGATGTGCTGACACAGGCCTATCACATCGGTACGGTTCATCAATGCCTTCTCTCGAGAAACAGGAAATCCAGGAAAATAAAGCGATTAGATTTAAAAGGCTTCAAGTTGTTGTAAATTTGATTTTGTCAGTGGCAGAAACAAGCACATGGGGTTATCCACCAGGTTGTCCACCGCAGTCCAGAAATGCAAAAGTGACACATTTTCCAGAGTGCTCCAGATTATTGCAGATGAAATGTAGATGTTGTTGAGGAAACTCTTCTCATGTTTTTCACCTTTTATTTAATTCTTAAAGTCAGCACTTAATCCTCAAATCCGTGGTTTCTATTCAGATCCAATGTTCAAAAGGACAGAGTCATCAAACAAAATTAACATTGTCCAAGAAATTATGGATTACACTGTAATTATGCAAATAACTTTTCTAACCTCCAAATGATTATTGCATCAATTCTTTTTTGTTGTCATGCAGTGTTATCCTCTGGCACAAAGGGAATACCTAAGACTGGTATCGGGTACAGAATGAACGTTGGTAAACTGGAGTCTCGTATGCTCTGCCGAAGACTGGAGAGGGATGGTTTAATTAAGGTAAGCTTCAGGCTGTAAACAGTTTTTTCCACATTTTTTTCTATATTGGAAACAAAAAAATAACTAAATTTACTCCTTAGCAAAAAGACTTTCTAGTCCACAATGGTCCAAATTATTATGTAGGTGCCATGTTTGTTGATTTTTATTTATTTTTTTATCCTCAAAAATGATATTACAGTGTAGATGTTCTTACAAGCAGAAACTACTGATTGGACAGCAGATTGTTTTTTATATTTTGGTAAAAACACAAAATACACTGTTCCAAATTATTATCCAGAAAACAACAAGTTAAAAAGGTCATAAAGAACCTGAAACTGAAATCCGTTGTAATTGTTACACGAACAGATCATTTAAAAAAACAAAACAAAACAGCAGAGGTCAACCACCCGAAAGAAAAGCCTTCCTCTTTGAAACGCTGTGATGAACCCCCCATCTGATGTTCATGTTACCCCTCAGGATGGATTGTAATCACTTTGGTGGTCCCTGAACGTTTCATCTAGCACCATCATCTGGTCAAAATTTCAGTGTATTGATTCAACCTTCAGGGCTATTTGATTACATACCATTTTATTATGATGTAAAAGTGTTTCAGTTTTATGTGTGTGATGTCTTTCACCCTGCAGGGGTTCATGGAGGATGAGGGTCGGCAGAGGACTACAAAATTTATCAGCCATAAGTGTGTATCTATAAATGAGAATATATTTCTAAATTCTTATTTTAACACCTCATTATATCAGATACTATAGCATCAATATTATTGTTCTGCTCACTTCTCTCGACAGGTGTGTGGGTGTGAGCGATCAGCTCCAGCTGTTTGCAAAGGAGCAGGAACGCAAGAAACTCCTCTACTCGTCTGCACCACAAGCATCACATGCTGCACCTGCCACCCCTGAAACGCCATCATCCTCAAAGTCGACAGCGAAAGGAAGCGCTGAAACAAAAAAGATTCGGAAAGCAGGTGGAGAAGGAGACAAAGGTGCCATGGAGGCTGGGCAGACATGTAGTGATGAAGGGTTGGATGGAGGCAGAGGTAAAGTAAGAGGAAAGTCAGGAGCAAGAGGAAAGACGACAGGGAGGAAAGGCAGTGAGACAACGGAGCAGACACAGACCGACCAAGTACAACCTACACCGGGTAAATGTGACTCCTCATTAACCCTGTGCACATTTCAGAACAGATATCATTTAAAAAGGACTGTTTTAGCCAAAATTTAAACTCTCATAATTATCCCAACTTGTCATAATCAAAAGAGCTGGTTTAATTACAGCTCTTTATGTTGTCTCACCCTCTTTCTTTTTTTAAATTTCTGTCATCCTTCAGGTGAAACCTCGGCACGCAGTGAATCCAACACGAGGGTGGCACCTGATGTTCTCAACACAGGTAAATTGCCTCAACTGCTACACGTCATTCACAGCCAACAGAAGTGTGGCTAAGAGGTATTTTACCTCTCACAACTGGCCTTTGCAGCATCGTTTCATACTTTCTTTGACATGATACAGTATTTTATATGTATTCCTCCTTATTCTGTTTAATCACAGTTATTGTCTCTTCTGTCAGAGCAAGCTGCAACTGAGGAAGGAGAACAATCCAACTTGACTCCTGCCAGTTCTTTACCTCAGAGCGCGGCATCAGCCAGTCACTCAGCAGACAACAACATTGTGGTTGTTAAAGATGTTCGTGAGGAGCAGGTCAGTCTGATGAGTTGCTTTCACTGGTTTGTTTTTTCCAGCTAGAACTCGATGTTCTTGCTCTGGCTTTTTTGGTAGAAGAACTTTTTTCGGTTGAGTTTATGTCTTGTGTCAGTATCTCAACATCTGGATTGGTACAAACTTTTATTTAGTTTTATATTTTATCATGTGTATAGGTATAGATAGAAAAGGTAATTAACTAATTTCGTCAGCAGATCGTAATGATTTCTCAATAACCTGCATTTTCTCATCCAAAATCATAATTATATCAACAATTCTTCAAGAAAACGAGAGATTTGTATCTGAAAATGTTTGTGTTCACGTATGGGATTCACCCTGAAACGTCTTGGTCTTGATACAGCGAACTGTCACTAAGCTGCACTTTTGCAGGGGCTGAAGGCTTCAGTTAAATTTTAAACCAGCTTTGAAGAACCAGATAATCCAGATTTATGTCAAACCATCAACGATCTAATCTGGATCAGTTATCCACATGTGAAGAATGGGGCCCAGGTTGAAGGCAGTCTGTTTGAGATGAGTAGATGAAAGTAACGGCTCTATCCACCTCCTTCAGACCCGCAGTCCAAAAAAACCCAAAAAGTCTTTGGAGAGGTCTCATGAGACGTACCGCCTGCTGAAGAGGAAGAACCTGATCGTCGAGGCTGTGCGCAACTTCAAAATCATAGAGGGTCTTTTCCCGTCAGTTTGTCTCAAATGTTCTATCAGTTTATTCCAAAGCATTTTATCGTACAATAGAAAAGGAAACAAAAAAACAGGTCAACATGCTGTCTTTCTCCAGATTACAGAAGATGATCAATGACGAAGAAAAGCAGGATGGAGTCAGCTCAAAGTGCTGCAAGAAAACTATTTTACGTCTCGTCCACGGTCTGTCCAGAGAAGGCTTGCTTAAGATTTACACGACCACTGTCATACAGGATGGGATCACCAAGAAGGTACAAGCACACGCCACGCCACACCTTGATGGTCATTTCCATACCTGACTCCATATCTTTTCTCTTTCATTACATCCGCTCCCTGTGGTAAAATAAACTTAATTTAACTACTCAGTCAGATTATTTTTAGCAGATACAATTACACAGAGTGGAGACTAGAAAAGAAATAATACGTTTTATATTACTACCCCCCACCCCTCACCTCCTCTGTCTGTCTGACGTTCTTGCACCTGCAGGTTGAGATGGTTGTTCATCCGTCCATTCAGCCCAACGATGACATAGTGCACAGAGTTATCGAGCAGGTCCGCTTCAAAATCTCCAGCTCTTACTCGGCCGTACGGTGAGTGTAAACTAAATATTTTAAAACAAGTCAGGGAGGAATCCAGAATGTCTGAGTAGTATACTGTATGTTAGCTCGTTCCCACTGTCTGACTCCAGAGACTTTACCTCATTTTATCAGTTTCTCAGTGTAACTGTGTACTGCATACTCAACCCTGACTTATTATCGGTCTGTTGTTTATAACCATGGGACATTTCCTGTAGCCTGTTTCTTGATCCAGCCTCTTGTTTTTCCTCTGCTGTGCCTCAGTCTGCAGCACGCTGAAGAGAAAATGAGAGAACAAGAATCAGAGTCTGAAGAGGCGAGCGCAGGCCCAAATAGCAAGGCTGACAAGAGGAGAGCAGTCCTTAAGAACGAGAAGGAGTTCAAGCCCACTACAGGTTCTGTTTGATTGTATACCACAGAGTACAAAGGGGAGGACTGAATGACTGTATATTCATTGATAGATTTTTCTTCCTCCTCTAATTATGTGTCACTTATCCATTGTTTTGTTCTTGGTCTTCTGCCTCTCTCTGGTTTTATAGTTCGAGGATTGGGTAAGACTTTCGGCTTCCAGCCTAAGATGCATCGTCTGCGTGTTGTTCACAACTTCTTGTGGTACTTGATGTACGGACACCCACTCAGACACAACTCCACCAGCTCTGACTCAACCGGCGAAACGCCAGCAAACTTGTGCAGCTCTGATCCTGAAGCCAAACACCAAGACAAGCATGAAAAACAGGATCTGAAAGACGCACAAAACTCCACAAACACAGACCGACAGACACAGTTGCCTGAAAAAGCTGCCGCCGGCTCCCAGAAGCCACAAATTGCAGATTCAGCTGTGTCTAAATTGGACGAGACATCAGGTGATGAAGAGGAGGAGCAGACGGATGAATCAGCACCTGGTCGCTCTCAGTCTGACCTGAAAGGTGAGAGCATCATGAGTGGAGCTATGTATGTGTAGTAGCGAGTATTAGTGAATGTGGGTACAGTAGTTATTTTAATTATTGGGACAAAAATTGCTCTTTCAGAGTTTCCTATCTACACGCTTTGGTTTTACTGTAATCTTCTGTCTGTCTCTGATAGTTTACACTGATGAAGAGTCGTGGAAGAAGTTCATTCCTCCTGTCCGTGCACACAAAGAGTTTAGCGGCGGCTGGGCGATGGTGGGCGACCTGCTCCTCTGTCTGCCTCTCTCCATCTTCATTCAGGTCATACAGATCAACTATAAGGTGAGCTCACGTTTCCTTCTGTTTTATGAAACAATGTTACGCAGTTATTTCACTTAACTTTTCTGTATAGTAGTTGTGTCTGAAGAATTATGTCGACATGGTGTCACTTTGATTTGTAAGAAAGCTTTAAATTTTAATATTACATTTATATAATTACTCTGTCGTCTCAATCTGCCTCTTGAAGGAACACTGCAGCTGCTGCGGTACCATTGTAAACGTTATACATACTTAAACATTTGATTTTATTGTTGAAAACCTGCACAGAACAAGGGAAGAGTGAGTCCTAACAGTAATAATGTCTTTGTGGCCGACAGCCTAAAAACAAACATGATTTGACTTGTTCTTACTGGAAAAACAACAAATAATACTGTCATGTTGTTGACAGAAAATAAACAGATTTTCTGCTTTTCTCTGTTATATTTCATTATAAACTGAATATCTTGGGGCTGTTTTGGACTCAACAACACAAATGGTGGTGATAATATATTATATGAATATGTGGACCTAATAAACTGGCACCTTAATGTAGATTCTGTTATGCCTCATAAGTTGGACATGTGGATACATATGAGATATTGTTGATGGCCCATTTCTTGTAGAAACTTGTAATGCATGAGGATGCACGACATAAAAACACTCGTGTCCGCAGGTGGATGGACTGGAGGAATATCTCAACGACCCTGTGAAGCAACACCATCTTGTTAGATCGCTGCCCGCCAGAATGAGAAGACAGCTGCTTTATAAACGGTGACTTTCTTTCTCCTTCGCTCTCTCTATAACGCATCACAACTGTGATTCTGAACTGAGTGTCTATGGGCTCTTCATACCAGGAAATACCTGTTCTCATTTCATGAGAACCTGCAGAAGTTGGTCTACATGGGTCTGCTGCAGTTTGGTCCTTTGGAGAAGTTCAAGGAGAAAGATCAGGTACGCAGTCTGTCAGTGCAAACACAAACACAAACACAAACACAAACACAGAGGATTAAGAATAGATCATCATCATCATCATCATCATCGTACTGCTGCTTTGATCCTCTAATAGTCCACTGACTTGTATTTGGCTTTTATTCACTGTTTACATTCAAACAGACAAATATCAATATCTGTAAATGTATCTATACACGATTTAGAATATTTATAGTGTGTGCTTTGAATAAAACATGAACGTTTTAATTGAATTCTCTTTTTATATCTTTATATAAAGGTGTTTGTGTACCTGAGACGTCACACCACCATCGTTGACACCACCAACGCTGAGCCTCACTACTGGCTGGTCACAGAGTTAGCTGACAAACCATTCGAGAGGCGCCAGTACACATTCAACACTCATGAGGATGTTGAAAACTACTGGTTCGACCTGATGTGTGTCTGCCTCAATACACCACTGGGTACATGCACACACACACACACACACACACACACACACACACTTATAAAAGCAGAATCACTCACAGCGCTGGCAACCATATGGAGAAATGTAACGTCACCTTTTTAAGACGTTTTCTGTCTCTTTGTTTGTTTGTTTGTTTGTTTTTCAGGGGTAATCCGTAGTAAGAGAAACGTGACAGATGACGACTCTGCTCCTTCTTTTGTGCAAGACCGCAGCGTGTTTGTAGGAATGTCATACCTGCTAAAGTAAGTGCAGTGAGACTTTTTCTACTTTTCCTCTTTTCCACTTTTTTTTTTTTTTTTTCAGGTTTTAAAAAATATTATGTTTCTCTGCGCACACACACACACACACACACACACACACACACAGGGGCAGTCGTGAGGTGTGTGATGACGGGTCGTTACCAGGAGACGGTAAAGGAGCAGGAGGTCTGGACTCTGAATTTTTTGCTCATCTTAAAAGGAACTGGTTGTGGACGAATCACCTACTTTCTGTCAAATCGGTAAATAATACAAAACACAGGTGAACATGGACAGTGTGTGTTTGTGTGCTTTTGGCATTTTGGGCACATGTATCAGTTGTTTGTTTGTTTTCTTTTTTAAGAGCTCAGCCGGTTTGGAAGCGAAGGAAAACAAGATCAGACTGAAGAGCTTGCTGAGTAAGAATGCTCTTAGGATTGCTCTTAAAGCCGGTGAGTCACTTTGAACATAATGAATTTCTGCGTCCAGTCGTAACAAAGCTTTAATAGGTCTGTGTGACTTCTTGCTTTAATCCAGCATTAACAATCCCTAAAACAGGTGAATGGATACAGATATAACACTATATTAGAGTCTCATTGATGGTGTCATTATGCAGCTATTTTAATTTCAATCTTGTGTTGAGGCACACTCTTGTGTTGGCTTTGAGGAGAGAGAAGAGCTATTAGAGCCGCACTGTCACTGTCACTGTGCCCTACTCATCAATGACATAGTTTTTATACGTCTGTTTAACAGGAGGAATGACTACACCTCGATATGTGACCACCAAGCGACCACTGCTGATAGAAAATATTGAGGTATAAGGTTCTGTCATTTTCATTTCATTATTTTATTATTATAATTAGGTTTATTATCGGTACATCGCTTGTAATAAACAGTTTTGTTTAACTGCAGCTGTGTCGGCTCCAGCAAGTACAATTTCTTGTTCCGATATTTACCTAATTAGAAAATGACAATAACAATGTTAAAGGAGCTTTTTACACTGAAGATGTCATTTTCAAAACAATTAACCATCTGTTTCAATACATTATCAGTCTGTTATGATCATTGTCACTCAGCAGTGAGCACGGTTGATTGCCCCGAATGTTATAAGAATTTGCTCACATGCCCTGTCTCAAAAAGTGTCAGTAGTGGAGAGTAATAGACTTGCACTTATTTTTAAACAATGTTGGGTTAGTGAGGTTTTGTTTACCACTGCAGATGAGAACAAAGAGCAGAGGCTTCAAGCAATGTTTCTCGTGCTTGTGTCTTCGTAACCAGGTGGATATAGAGCCTGCTTCCAGAAACCAGAGGGTGGTCGGTGGAAAGAAACAGAAGAGGAAGAGAAGCAAGAAGGAGGTTGTCAAGGTCCCACGCAAGAAGAAGAAAGGTGCAGGACAGCTAAACATGAAAGTAAACGCATGTGTCTGATGGACTGGAAAAGGAAAGCTGACAGTCTGTGTGCGTGTTTGTTGTTTTGCCTTAAAGAGCCAAAGAAGCGCACCCCTGCCCACGACGAGGCGGACCACCGAGCTTTGAAAATGATGACCAGACAACGAGTCTACTGGTCTGTACAGGAAGACTCACTGATGATGCTCTGCAGCGTGGCCTCACACCTGCTCAACAGCAAGGTACACACACACACACACACACACACACACTAAAAAACACAGGTGAGTACATTTAGCATAAACATCTTTGGATTAATTGGGTTTTATTTTTTATGATTCATTATATGTTTTTTTTAGTCTAAGGTCAGTAACATAACATTACAATAAACTCTTTGTCTTACCTAATTATATATATATATATATATATAATTAGGTATCTTCTTGTGTTACTACTATTTATCCTTTATTTAGCCGTTGCAAAGGAAACATACAGTATATTGTTGATGTGTTGCAGTTGAAAAGGCCCTTCATACCTCACTGTGGTGTGAGAGACCTGCTCCACACAGAGTTTGAGATGTCGATGGATAAAACATCGGTTGCTGTCGGACGTCGCTCGCGATACATCCTCAAAAATCCTCAGACGCTTCTGAACTACAGGTTGCTACAGATTCAGACGCGCTTTAAAACACTTTTAAACACTTTTAAACACTTCCTGAAGTGTCACTCATCCAAAGTTGTGCGCTGCAGGATCTGTCTGGCTGAGGTTTACCAGGACAAATCTCTGATGAAACTGTTGGAGGAGAAGAAACCTGGTGATCCTGATAAACCAGAGGTGGGCTTTTTTTTTTTTTTTTTTTGTTGGTGCTGTTTTGTTACTGACTTTATGACTTCACAGTTGAATATTTCGGTCTGTGTTGTTGTAGGATTGTGCAGAAGCTTTCTCAGAGTACGCCAGGCTTCTCAGGCAGAAGTTCAGCGCTGTCATGAGCGCTCGTGATATGACCATGCCTGACACGAAAAAGCAGCTCTTCTCGCGGTAAGAAAAGGAGGAGGTTGGATGTGGCGGCTTCGGACAAGTAGCTGAGTGTAGCGTGTAATGTAACAGTGTGCTGTATGTGTGTGTTACAGGTTTAAGGTTTCCACAATAGACAATGGAAAGTGGGTTTCAAACAAAGATACTCTCAACAGGTAACGATTCAGTTCGATTTTTAGTTTTATTTCTATTGAATGAATTTGGATTCTTGCGTTGGCAGTTAATTGTATGTGTGCGTTTGTCCATTGCAGCACAGACGACATTCACGCCATAGTGTTGCATAACTTGATCCAGAGCACTCTGGCCATGACCAACTGTCAGATGAAGTCGTCCAGATCCTTTCAGGTAGCTCCCGTTTCATTCCTCTGTTCACAAAGTTTTATCAATACAGCATTCAATAGCGCAACATCACAAAATGCTCCACAATAAAACAGACCACCGTGAAAACACGTAAAATAGAAATAAATGTTAAAAATTACGAGCTGCTTTTTAAAGCTGCCCTTTTCATCTCTCCTCTCCTTCTACACTCACAAACACAAAACACTCGCAGACTTATGATTGCTCTGTCTCTGCTCTTAGACCTTCCACATGTACAGTAGGTACAACCAGGAGCTGCTGTGCCAAGTCTTCATACAATGCAGGAAGAGAGGTCTGGTTAACCGCCGTCGTGTCAATCAGCCATTTGGGCCAAAGAAGAACCGAGCGCTTCCCATCCTGCCCATGTCCTACCAGCTGTCCCAGTCCTACTACAGGTACACAACCACCTGAGGGAACATATTGTCATTACTCATAATTACTTCTTTCTCCGAAGCTTGCAAAACCCCACTGTTCTATCATTTATCATTTTATTTGATTTGATCATAAGGGACCATGCGAAGATAAATGCTGCCGCTTTCATTTATTGACAGGAAATGATCATGAATTCAGTTTTTAGTTCAACTAATGCAGTCTAAGAAAGGTGTTTCTCTTATTTATCTTATCCTCATTGATATAAAAACAGAATAGAAACTCGCTCTATTATTCTATTAAACACTAGTATTATGCAGTACAATTCCACCACATACTGCAGCCTCCAAAATGATCAAACAGTTTCAACAAAAACAGAAAGTTATAACCTTCCTGAAGGAGGATTTATTACAGGACTGTTGTACTAAACTGTGCATATTGAATGTACACTGTACGGTCAGTTACTGATGAACTATAGCTTATGGAAGAGCAATTAAATTTAGGTTTTATTTAGATTTTAAGCATCTTATACAGTGCAGTACCATCTCAAAACAATTTCACCTCAGTTTTCCTTTGTCATTTTCCAGCTGCCTTCATATTTTCCCAGCTATAAAGACAAACAAAAAATTTAAAAGAAATTGAATACCTTAAGTCACACGAGGAAAACAAAAGGTCAGGATTAGAGTGTCTCATTATTAGAGAATGTAAGTGGTTTAACAGGCATCTAATCAGTGAATAACCTTATTGCATTTACATGGGATTTAAAAGCAGTTTTAGAAACTCTTTTAGGAACTCTCACTACATTTCAGCTAGAGGTCTCCAGTTTCAGTTATAGTTGCTGAACCACCGTTTAGTGTTATTGGTAAATGGTAGTTTCTGTAGCAGACGTATGAAATCAGAATAATATGATGAAAACTAAAAACTTTTAGGAAATTGGTGCCATGTCTTTCGGGTATTTTCAAACTCTTTTTTCACCTCTGTAAATCTCTTTTCTAACACATGTTCAAACCTCACAGTTAAATTATATCAATCAATCAAAATTACTCTCCCGCTGTTTCCCATACAGATGTTTTTCATGGCGTTTTCCTCACTCGCTGTGCACCGATTCCTTCCGCTTCTTGAGGAATATCATTAACAACGGGACAAGAGACGACAGACCTCTTACTGTGTTTCACCATGAAACTGAAAACAGGTCAGAGAACGGTAATGGAGGGTTGGAGAGAAAAACAGGGTCTAAAAGAAAAGAAAAACAAAGCAGAGGAAAGGCTGAAGGCAGACCAGAGAGTGAACCAGAGGTACAACCAAATACTGAGTCCACAAAGGAAGGAGAGAACGACCAAAGACCAAAGTTGATGGATGTAGACATGAACAAAACAGATGAACAGTTAAACCCAGAAGATTGCCTCACAGCCTCCTCTGCTGAAGATCCGTCCAGCAGGGAGCAGACAGACGATCATCTGCCCAAAGAAGAGCCATCAGTAGAGGCTGCAGCTTCGAACACAGCACCCAAAGTCCCAGAGGATCCTCCGGATGTGTCTGACATGCTGCAGTTCTCTCTGGACTCTCCAGGTGGCGCCTGTGTGATCAGTCTCAGCCTGATGTCTCTGGGGCTGCTGAGCGTGTACGTGTCCATACCCAAACAGATGGTGGTGGTGGACAGCAACCTGGTGGACAACGATGTGGTCAAGAGGTGAGACACTGTTCATGTTATTAGTTCTTCATTCATGACATGGCTTTATTATTTTATTAAAATATGCCTACAATAACTTCTAATCAAGTTTTTTTTAATATACTACACCTACTAAAACATACTTTCTGTTGTACTCTCTGTTGTGGAATTAGTGTTGCATGTTTTGTGCACCACATTAGAACTTTTTACTATTATCATTATTATTTTTTTTGTTGTAACAATCAACAATCATTATATACAGCTGTTCCTGGTCTCTCTTGCTTCTCTCTCTTGACTTTGACCTTACCCTGTAAAGTGCTTTGAGATAATGAATATTGTTATTTGGCGCTATACAAATACAATTGAATTAAACTGGAACTGTTATCAATTAATCAACAGGTTGACTGACAGAAAGTTAATCAGTTGATTTATTGAGCAAAAATGCCAGAGATTCAGGTTACAGCTTCTCAGATGTGAATAGTTGCGGGTTTTCTGTGACAGTGAATTGAATACTGGCATTTCTGTATTATCATTAATTGATTGATTGAATCAGAAAATAATCATCATATTAAAATATATTACTGTTAGTTGCAGCCATGATCTGTTCAGATTTCTTTGAAAATCTAACTTGAGGGGAATTGTGGCCTTTTAGTATGGCAGCACTGGAGGAAGAGGATGACGATGATTACGACGGTGAGGAGTGTGAGGGGAGAAAGAAGCTGGAGGTGAAGGCACATCAGGCCTCACACACCAACTACCTGATGATGCGAGGATACTGCTGCCCAGGCATCGGTACAGTTTGAACTTTCTACTTTGTAGCTGAATGTTTTCTGTAGATATATAATGTGTAAATTTGTCTCACTTATGCCGGGTGGATGGCACAAAGCCAAGTTTGGTTTATATGACCTTGGACAACAAGTGTAACAGTACCGTAGGTGATGAAATGGTAAAACATATTAAATACATATTAACAAGATAATCCCTCTTTTAAAAGCTGTTATATACATCTATAAATGATTTATTTACAGGAACACAACCCAAAGTGTTGGAGTTCTTGATTTACAGACAATTGTGCTCTTTTGTATATTTAGATCGAGAGCTGAAACAAATAGTCAATAATTGATTAGTTGATCGACAGAAGATTACAGTTTTGACAATTGATTAATAATTGAAAAGTTGTTTATCAAGAAGTAATCTGATTTTAGCCTCTTGAATGTGAGAGTTTGTCTCAAATTTATGTCAGTTAAAATTAATATCTTAGCGTTTTGGACTGATGGTCAATAATTTATTGATTTGAATTTGCAATTAAATTAAGTTTGCAGTGAATATAACTGTTGGTCGTAGTCCTATTCAGATTTGTCAAAAAATTTTGTTTTGTTTTTGTTTTGTTTCTAGTCAAACTACGTAACCTCAACACCAATGACAACATTGTGGTGGAGTCGTGCATTATGAAGTTGCAGCTGCGCAGCACACCTGCTCACAACATGTTCACTATGGAGAGTAAGTATCAAAACACTCAAAAGATGTACAAACAGATTTTTGATCTGCAAAAAATAATTCTTGATTTCCTTTTTTCTTTCATTTATAGACTCTCCCCCACTGGACCTGACTAAATGTGGTCCATCCCTGCTGCCCTCCATCCTCACCTACACCGTCTGCTCCCCCTCCTCCTCCTCTTCACACAGTGTGGAGGAGTGTGACAGGCTTTTGATTCAGCAAAGAGGATACACTCCTCAGGATATAGAAGCATGGGCTCAGCTGAGGAGGAGCTTAGCTGAAGCTGGTCAGAATGGCTTGGACGTGCATGATCTCTACCAGGCTCACACACACCTGGAGGAGCCACAGTCCGGACGCACCAGGAGCCTGCAGCAGTACATGAAGGTAAACACAAGCATAGCTGTTAAAGAACTGGACTGGACTTGTTGTAACGTTCAAGACACACCACCCTGTTACTTGTTGTTGCTACGTCTGTCAAGCCTTCTAGTCATATGAAAAAACCCAGATGAAATATCATGAAAAAGTTAACGAATTAATCATAAGATACATGAAGCTTGTGACTTAAACTGAAGCTTCCACTGAAGAGATGATAAAATTGGAGCAGTTTGCAGCAACGAACAGAAATGATTCTGTTTGTTTGAGGTTTGACTGGAGCTCCTTTAGTTGCACTTGTGTCATCTCTGTGACACCCGGCTGAGGAATTGGCTCCACAGACTGTTTATGCTTATTCTCCCAGCTCCAGATATTCTCATGGATGGAAATGCACGTTAATTCGCATTTTCTTTTGCTGATTTTCTGGAAATTGGGTTAAAATTTTTGCAAAATTTTAGATGGAAACCTGTCAAATGATAACAGCGGCAGATATACAACTTGGAATACGTAGTAATATTTGAAACAATGGTCCGTTGGTTTTAAACAGAAATAAACAAAAGCTGCTTCTGGCTGATAACCACCGATTGTTGGCTAAAATAAGAGCAGTCACTAACAGATGTTAGCTGCTGTAGCTAGCCAGCTGATTAATGCTAACTCCATGAGTTGGCTGAAAACTCTCCAGCAGACTCCAGATCATCTTGCTCATTTTAAAAGGAGAACCCGGTAAAAGGGTCTTTAATATGCACTTGGTGGCTACATGATATAATCCTGAAAGACTGAGGCTAAAGTCGCAAATGAGAAAGTCAGCATCCTCACCAGCTGATGATCCATGTAGAAGACATTGAAATGAATGCTTCTTCTTTCTCTCTGTGGTTGTCTGATCTGATGTTTTTTTGTTTTATTTTGCTCTAGGATTTACAAGAAGAAGGCCAGGTGGTGAAAGCTGGGGGTCTGGGTGTCCGTTGGGTGCTCACACAGCATGCTGAACCATGGCTGCTGACTGTAAACACCAAGCAATGGTCCCAGTCACGCTTCACATCTGACAAACTCCCATTTTTGGAGAACGAGCACCACATCCCCTTCATGCGCAAGAGGCCCAGGCTAGAAGGACAACACATGGCAGAGGAACCACCAGCCAAAAAACCTGCTGTGGACAGACAAGAGAGCGAAGACAAAGAGGACATGGAGGGAGGGTCAAGCGATTTAACAAGAGAGAAACTGAACGATGAAGCACAGCTGGAAAAGCAGAAAGAGAGTGCAGATGTGGGGAGTGGAGACAAACAGCTGGACTCGAAAGAAGAGGAGGGAGGAAAACAGACGCACCATAAAGTGGAAGCGAAGGAGGATGCTGGACAGGAGAAGATGGAAACTGAGGAGGGACAGGAAGAAGAGAGAGAGCAGAGAGTCAGAAAGGACAGTATACATTCTGAAAGAGATGAAGACGCATGCTCTCCCCTTAATGTTGAGTAAGTACAGACTGTGATCCCAATAATCTTATTGCAGTTAACCGTGCATTTTCCTTTCCTGTATCTAAACTCCTTTTTCTTTCTATCTCCATCACTGTCATCATCAACCTCACACAGTGAAAATGTGAGTTTCATCAGCCGGCCGTGGCGCATGGTGGATGGTACGCTGAACCGGCAGGTGTGTAAGGGCATGCTGGAGGCCACTCTTTACCACATCATGTCCCGACCCGGACTCACACAGCAGACGCTGGTGGAACATTACAAAGATGTGCTGCAGCCAATGGCGGTGCTGGACCTCATGCAGGTAAACAGAAATACTCTCACACCCGTAGGCTGACGTTTTATTTTACAATACTTTCAATACTCTGAAAGAGTGGCAGAGAAAACCAGGCTCCTGCTCCTCGGTTAATGTGTTGTTTTCATAAATTCATTGTGTTTTTCCATTTCCACAGTCCTTATCCCACTTTGTGCAGCAGCACTTTTCCTTTTCCCTGTTAAACTACCATGAATGAAACTCAACACTTCCTGTAGAATTTTCAAATTAAAAGTATTTCAGACTTCACTTAATAAGAAGGCGTTGAGAGTGAAAACGTCAGGGAAGGTTGAGTTTTGTTGACAATAGGTTAACATCGATCAGCAGTGTGGCTGAAAAGAGAAAGTATTGGAAATGGATTAATTATGTGATGTTGTCACATCTCTTGAATGTGTTTTCACAGACGTAGTATGTCGACATGCATATTTTATTTTACTTAAGTTTCAGGAATTCTCTTAAGTGGATGATAACTTCTTTCTACTCCCAATATTTGTGTTCCTTGCTGTCATTGATAACTGTTCAATAATTGTTTGACAGTAATCAATGACACGGAAATCAAGCAAGTGACACTGTTAAAACCAGGTTTACAAATGACTGATTCACCACTCCCACTGTATCACCCTCCCTCTCTCCTCTGTAGGCACTTATAGACATGGGCTGCGTGACGAAGAAAACTCTGGTTAAAGGTCCTAAACCCTCACTGTTCACTCGCTCCGTGCACCAGACAAGAAGGGAGACGGACGTGAAGATTGAGGAACCAGACACAGTGTTTTATGAGCCCACCATCAGCTGCTGCCTGCGGCTCAGCCAGGTGTTACCCAACGAACGTCACTGGAACTACTGTATACCGTGAAAGTCTTCATCCACCTCACACGACCTGCGCGTGGCCTTACCTGGCTTGACCTGGCATCAGGTTAGGTGCACGATAAGGCTGTTGAAGCTGAAGCTTCAAGAAGCTGAGTAAAAAGTTGTATCAGGCCGTTGTGAAACCTAAATAATGTGATTTTACAAAAAGTGTCATGTCATCAATTCTGGTTTTACAGAACAGGGGTTTCTTGTACTTTTTGTTGTTATTTTTGTTCTAAAATTAAAAATAATTTTTTTTTGTGGTCAGTTTTTTGTAGTCTAACTTAAAATTATAAATAAAAATGCATCACATTACATTCTTGACTTAAATTTGTGTTGCAGCAAAGTGGGTGTGTTTTGGTAGTGAAATCTTTAAGGTATTGTTCCACTCAGGAAGGGTAATGTCAATTTCCTCCTGGCAGGGTTACTCTAAAGCAACATGCCTCAGGTTTTAATTGGGAAAATACTACTGTTGATCTGGTTAATCTGCCAAATATGAATCAGTGGGTGTTGGACTTGATGCAGGTTGTGCCATGTCACTTGATTCCCATCCTGTTTTCATGGATAACATGCCTTTGGTTGCTGATGCTCTCCTTTTTTGCCAATAATGTATTTGTGTTGGATAACTGCCAAAGAGAAAACAAACAATGCATTATGGGTATCCTAAAACACATTGAGCACATGTACCTGTGTTTTTTTCTTTTTTTTCCATATTTTGAAACTTGCATTGTTCACATCTGTGTTATCTAGCCGTCAGCCTTCTTTTGCACACCATCAACTGTCAGTCAGCGGAGTAGCATGAATTTAGCTGCGGGAATCTTGTTACCTGTGTGCGGTGCGCAGGCATTCATGCAGCTGCGCAAGATAAAAACAAAATAGGGGACCGACTCATCAAAACATTGCTCCATAGTGCTCATACTTGTGAAGTGCACTAGTATCAGGGGAGTGTCATATGTACTAACCTTCAGCTAATGAGCTTTGACCACTGACCAACTCAATGAGACAGCTGAGATCATTTAACCACTCAGTCAAACCATTCCCTCATGCCCTGTACCGAAGCATCTGTGTTTGTTATGATTCTTTATTCATTCATTCAGGTTTTCCTTTTATTATGTCACCTGTCTGTATGTGGACTCAAGGTGAGGAGACCTCTGAAGGACCAGCTGAAGAAAACGCATCCACTGTAAGTTCAACCTGATTTTTCATTTAAAAGGATCAGAATGCACAAGTAGGTGATGTATTCTGCACCTTCACAAACCTTCTTTAGCCCGAACGTCAAAAGTATTACAAATACATTTAAAGAAATATTCAAATAACTAAAAGGAGAAGCAGCAAATCCTCACATTTGAGAAGGTGGAACCATGAAATGTTTGGAAAAATTTCTTAAATCAACTAATTGTTTCAGCTATACTTGTATATATTGTTGGGTAGTTTAATTGATAAAAAAGGATGATATTTTATAACCTCTTCCTGTTTTATATGCAAAAATCTTAATTGGTGAAGTAACTAAAAAGTACATTATTTCCCTCTGAAAGTTAAGTACAAATACCTCAAATTTGTACTTACTTGAGTAAATGTACTTGGCTACTAAGGAGGTTTGGCTGCTGGTGTCTGCACAGCTTGTTCTTGTAGTCAGGGACATACTGTAACCTACAATTCCCTTAACGCTTCTGAAGTTAGTGAACATGACACCACCCTCTGAAGCTCTGCTGTTCTTTTCCAGTGCACTCACACTTGTCTCAGAAAACCTCCAATATCTCTGCTCCTATCTGGAGTCCTGTCTTCTTGTGTGTGAACTTGAGAGGGTGAAGCAACATAAGAATATGTTAAAAACGGAGACTTTAAGAATAATGCAGTGGGTAGTGTATAAGGAGTAAATGAGAGTGGAGTGGTGAACATGACTTCGTCCAGTAATCACAGTAATGGGTGTCGGCAAACAACTTATATCCGCAGGAAGTTGAGGAATGTTGATCTGGGGTCACAGAGCTTCCTCTGCTCTGTATCCTTGAAGTACCACACTTTCAGTTTATACCACACAAGACGGTTGTCTGTGGGCGTGCATCTATGGACTTCCTCAAATAGATACCACTGGCATCTTCCCAAATACAGACACATTACCTAGATATTAACACACAACTTCAATTTAATGCAAGCAAAAAGATCTCTGCTGTAACCCCAATAGGCTACGATGGAGGTGAATAGTGTTTTGTTTGTGGTACTTGAAACATTCAAAATTGATATGAATTATACTGGATAATCCAGAGATTTCATGGGAGATATTTTCTATCAGAGTCTTACTACTTGAGCTGCAGATTTTATTAATCATTAATTATTAATTTTGAGTCTGTCGAATTCTCGTGAACGCAATATCTCATTAACACCTTGAGGGACTCAAACATGAACTGATCAAAGTGGTGATCAAAGTTAATGGTCACTGTGACATCACAGAATCCATTTTTGGCCTTATTTTACAAACACATACACTAATTATGACACAATTTAACTAAAAATGTCTCTGAGGATAAGATGAAGTGACGACAGCTTTCATCCAAATGGTCCAACGACAACTCCACTGTGTTTCCTGCGGGTCCCCAGCAAAAAGGGGAATGATCTTGTTTTTCATTGTGATTCCATCTATAAGTAACACAAAGACAGAGTGTATGACTGTTTTGATCATGGGCTTCAAACACTTTCTGTAATAAAACATCTAAAAGCAAAAATCTAATCAGAGGTGGGTCTGTGGGTCTAATTCGTGTCAGTTCAGGGATCCTGGATGAGAAAAGGTTTGAGAACCATTGTTGTGAAGTACCTTTTGATATGAATTGGGAGCGGTTTAGGGAGGGAGCGTCTTTAAACACGTCTAGCCTGGTTCTAAAATGGAGTTTGTGATCTTTAACTGAACAATGCCACTTTCACTTTCACAGGTCTCCAACTTTGAGGACAAAACTGAAATAGAGAGGACGTGTGTAGTGAAAACAGGCTGCGGTGCCAACATTGTTCTACTACAATAGACCATTAAATCGAGGGACTGAACTCATATAGTGCATTCACTCTCTGACCGTCTTCAGGGTTCATGTTTGGTGATTTTCATTTTCTATCTTACGAGAATGGAAAGAAAGTTTTTGGTTCTTTTGGTGGTTTTTTTGATGAGTCCTCTGTGTGACTTCCATGTCTCCAGTTGTGGTAAGTGAAGAGTTTTCCGTCTGTAATCTGCCTTAAAAAAAAAGAAAGAAAGGGTTTAATTGTCATCAGGCTATTTGTTGTATAAATGAGATTTTTAATTATTAATTATTACAATGATGATCTGTACTGGTTGTTTTTGGAAGAAAAAAAAAGGGCCGAAAGCACCTTTACAATTCAGGACACATTTTAATAGTTATTTTTGTGATTAATTTGGGCTTTAATTCCTCTAGATTTCACTTAGGCACTTATTTTGTTCTTGTAAAGAAAGCAATTATCATTATTATTATTATTATTATTATTATTAATATTATTATCGTTCTTATTATTATTTGTGACATCGGTAGAAAATAGGTTACTAATTATTATTTGCTCAGTACATAATAGATTTACAGCATCTTGTTTATTGAATTAGTAACGAAGTGATTAATTTAAAGAATAAATAAATAGATTAATTGATGAGAGACAATCAAATATCTGAGATAAATGAAAATGTAGACAGCATAACTACTTTGTGTAAAATTAGAATGTACAAAAAAAAATTTTATATGGATATTTTTCATTCAAGGAGCACTATATGGTTATTATAATTAAATAGGATAACAGCCTTTCATGTCTTTCTTACAGATCCAAGCTGTGCAGAGAAACCTGAGTTCACTCCTTCCAGACTGGTGGTGAAGTATGGTGACGCAACCTCTGCCAGATGCTCCTTGTGCGAGTCTTGCTCAAAAGACATTTTTGATTTGGAAAGAGCTCTGGGAGACCATACAACAAATGGAACCACAATTGTATGGAAGGTTAAAAATATGACTGAATGGGACACAACTCCAATGTGCTATTTTACTAATGCTACTGATTACCAGTGTTGCACCATCCTGCCTATAACTGTGTACAGTAAGTTAACTTTGTGTTTACCAAAATACCTAATCTAAAGAATATCAGTGATGGTTTCCTTTATTATTTGTTAACAGGATTTATACTCAGCTGGTCGGCTCTGGCTTGCTTTGTACGCCTGTGTGTCTACATCTCTCTCTGTTTGTCTCCACAGAGCCTCCAAACCGTGTCTCCATCAGCTTTCTTAATCACACTGGGCCGATGTTCATGGGCCATGACTACACTCTGCAGTGTGAAGTACAGAAGGTTGCTCCGGTTGAAAAGCTCAGTGTGACCTTCTACAGAGGACAAACAGCACTGGCTCAACTACAGTCCAACAACAAACAGAAGAAACCAGTGACTGAGATCTTCTCTCTGAGCATCACCCCCAGAAAAGAAGATAATGGACTCCAGTACTGGTGCGAGGCCAAGCTGGAACTGGGACCTGAAGGACCAGAGCTCCCTCCACTGGTGACATCACAAAGAGCCACTGCCACTGTTTTCTGTGAGTGTGACGAGGGTTTCTGTAGCATTCATCCCACAGATGATGCAATTTAATGTCTTGTTCACGGTCACAAACCAATGGGGAGAATAAAGTTAGTTGACATTATTGACATCACATTTTTGTGATGTACTGTATATAATAATAATTCCTACTAGTATAATTGATCAATTACTGCAACAACAAAAAAAATGTTATTGATGGATTAAGATTCAAACCAACCTTCTTAGAAACCTTAAAAATACCTTCTTATGCCTTTTGTTGAGGGAACTGAATTTATTGCTTTTTTTAAGACTTTTTGAGACCCACAAATATAATTAACAAAACAAGCACGTAACACAATGCACAGGTTAAGAAAACCTTTTCAACAGTTGGTCTTTTTGTCATCCTGTTGTTGTCTTTTACAGTGTATACCCATTTTTAAAGGAGCTGTTCGATGCTTATTTGCTTTCTTGCTGAGAGTTAGCTGAGAAGATTGATACCACTGTCACGTGTAGATGGCAAATATGAAGCTACAGCCAGGAGCCGTTTATCTTAGCTTAGCATAAACAATGGAAACAAATATGCATATATGTTAGTGGTATCAATATTCTCATCTAATTCTTGGAGAGAATGTGAATGAGGGTATTTCTCCAAACTATCAAACTGTTCCTTCCCTGATAGCAAATTGAATCTTTTGGCCCAACATACGCCTGGGTCCTCTGTCCGAGTCTGGCCCCATATACTTCCACATCTGGGCAGAGTCTGGGTGATATCTTCCAGTATTGACTGACAGCTGGACGATTTTCTGTGTGTTTGCGTTGGAATTGGTCCAGATGTGTAAGTAGCATCTTAAAATCATGCTGTATATGAGCCAGATTCAGGCCGTGTGTAACCAGGGATATATTGGGCCGGAAGAAGCATGTGGGCCAAGTATGGGCCGGATTTATTTTTGCTATCTGGGTTTAATGGCTGTATGTACTTTGCTCTTATTTGCTTTGTGCATTAATGACAGTGCTGTATTTCTCCCTGTCTCTTCCCCTTCCATCTCAATCGACACACAGATAAGCCTCAGCTAGAGAGTTCATCACATCCAGATCCGATCACCGTCACAGTAGGAAACCCTCTACAGCTGAACTGCTCGGCTGCGGGGAACCCCGGCCCTTCATACTTCTGGCTGCACTCATTACATCGCCTTTCCACCTTTCTGGACGGCCTTCTCTATATCAAATCTGTAACTTCCGAGGATGAAGGGCAGTACGTCTGTATGGTCAGCAACAATTTAGGGTATATCAATGTCACGTTTAACGTGGTTGTCAAAAGTGAGTTCAAACTTCAAACTGTTCTCTGTTTCTTCTTGCTTTACCTAAACCTCTGATTTGACTCCCTTTGCAGTCAATTACATGCTCACTTTGAAAACACTCTTGCTACCATCATCAATCATGCATATGTGGAAGTACTGAATAATCCATAAGTTAGACTTGAGAAGCAAATTTTAGATAATTGTTTGAATACATAAATGCTAAATTCATTTTATAGTATAATCTTTTAATGATTTATCTTTTTGTTCGCTTTATGGAGCCCCAAAGCAGACGAGAGCAGTAAAAATTTTATTAGACGACTGAAAAATATAACTGAACACATCAGTAAATGATACTTTTAGTTGTAAAGTGTAGAAAGAAATACATATATACATACACAATACATTTTTTTTCTTGTTTTTACCACATTTATTTTTTTAATCTATTTCTGACTTTCTCCACTCAACAATTGCCATTTTTCTCACCACATTTCAAATTTTTCTGTGTATGTAAATATGATAAAGTGAAGACCTTCAGTTACTGGTGGGTGATACTTATGTGGTTGATGCCAACTGTGTGTTTGTCCACAGGTTTGCCACCAACAACCAAAACCACAACCTCCATACCGACCGACGGCACCGACAGCAGACCAAGTCACAGGTTCATTATGTGTTTTATGCTTTTATTACACGTAATCAAATGCCTCTAAAGCTATGAAGGTACAGTTGAGTACAGACGTTTATAAACACTTTGGTTGAAGTCATTATTACAATTTCTTTAGCCTCTCCACAGATTTCAAATGGGTCTTCAAAATGGACAATGATCCCAAGCATACTTCCAAAGTTGGTAGCATAATGATTTAAGGACAACAAAGTCAAGGTGTCTGAGTGACCATCACAAAGGCCTGACTTCAATCTAATTGAAAATTTTGTGGGCAGCACTGAGAAGGCGTGTGTGAGCGAGGAGGCCTACAAGCCTGACTCAGCTCCACCGGTTCGGTTGTGAGAAGCTTGTGGAAGGGCTACCTGAGACGTTTGACCCAAGTTAAACAGGTTAAAAGCAATGCTACCAAATACTATCAAAGTGTATGTAAACGTCTGACTCACGGGGAAGGCGGTGAAAGAAAAATAAAAGCTGAAACAAATCTTTCTGTCTGCTATTATTCTGACATTTTACATTCTTAAACTGAAGTCGTGATCCTAACTGACATAAGACAGGTAATGTTTATTATGATTAAATGTCATGAATTGTGCAAAACTCAGTTTAAATGTATTTGTCTAAGGTAGTGCAAACTTCTGACTTCAGCTGTATATACTGTAGCTCACATCTGGGGCTGGTTGCACAAAGACTTTGACTATGGCTTAGAAAATAACAAATAGTCAGACTTCAGATAGACGACGAATTCATCCGCTGCACAAAGCAGTTTAGTCTTTGACTAACCTAAGCCAGTCTGTGGTACAATGAATTCTGGGTAAATTACTGTTTAAAATAAACTAAATAGACGTTTTACTTCTGCGGAGAGTGTAACAATAAAGAAAAAAAAAGCTCTTCCCTTTGCTTTGCTCTCTCCATAACAATGTTAGAAAACCACAAATTATGAACTATGTTTTCCTGTTTTTTGTTGTTGTTGCGTGGTACTGCTCAGTGCAGGTGTCATTGACTGTTACCATGGTAACATCGTTAGCCTGGAGGTAAGATGCCTGATTTTTTTTTTTTTTGGCTTAAAATTAGTCAGTCATTATTTTTGTGAGACTTCCTTTAGACTAATCTATGAGCAAAAACGAAGACCTAACTCTACAAACCAGTCTAAAATATCTTTGTGAAACCGGCGCCTGATGTCAAAAGTTCTGAACATATACTTGGATGTTAGCTTGCTGTAAGAATGCTTACTTTTTTTTTTACAATGTAATACTGATATATAAGCAGTAGGATCAATGGTTGTACAAAATCTTGTGCCAATATTAGTACATATTGATATATTTCACGAAAGAAGCGGGGGAAATACAGGAAGAGAGGATCACCAATGTTATTAGGATTTATCCTCTCGCTATCACGAATGTCTGTGCAAAAACATAATGGAAAAATCTATCCAATAGTTGTTGAGATGTTTTAGTCTGGACCAAAGTGGCGAACATCCCCACAGTCACGCTGTTACCGTGGATAAAAAAATACAGTTTGAAAGGTTCAATAAATGTTATGTTGTTGCTATAATTGTGTTTTCTGTACGTTTATTTTGTAACATTCAAGCCAGTAAGTGCAGAATTTGAATATCCTTAACTTTGGCATCAGTGGTTGCATCGAGAAACTCACAAACATATCTGACCAAGGGGACACTACGATATACTCAATCACAACTACTTTGTATGGCGTCGGAAAGTGTTTATAGTTTTTTTTTAAATGCAATATTCACAAAATCTACAAGAGGAGAAATAAAAGAAAGAGAAAGGCAATTTAAAGTTCCTAAAGTTTATCTCTAATAACAAAAAGTGGGTTTGCAGTATTATTTGATTATTTCGCTTAATATGTGATGTGACAGTAATGGCTGTATCACATTGTTTGTTTGTGTTTAAAACCCATTAAAATTAGGTTTTATTGTCATAAACATACATATTGATAATAAAAAGAAAACAGTTTAGGATGTTGTCCCTGCATTGCTGATTGGTTTTTCATTATCTGATTATTGTTTTATTATTATTTGAAAATTCTTCTCTGTATCTCATGAAAAGACTGGAATAATTTAACCAGTCTTTTCATGCGCCCGGAGGATTCAGTTACACACAACACAACTAAGTGTGATCCAATCACTTCACATTGTGTTTAGATAAAACTAAAGAGTCCTCTTCCCAATTAGCTCGGACTCTTTTGCGCTCCAGCTTCTTCCTCCTTCTTCGTCTTTTTGATAAGCTCTTCATCCATGAACAACGGACAACCGCAGAACCAGAGGTATATCATCTTGTTTCTGTTCAATTCTGCTTCCTTCCTGCTGTTAGGTAAGGGGTTTGGGAGTTGGGAGTTTTACCATGTGTTCAGCAGAAAATAAAGGGAACTGTAGAGGCAGCAAAATCAATAGAAAGACATAATGAGGTGCAAAGAAGCCATTCTGATTCTGATTATCCAAATCATTTGTTTTAGACTCTGTAGTAAGTATGGCTAAGCTACTGTGCTAAATATAAGTTTTGTCTGTCTGAAGAGCATGCCTGTTTTCTCTCCGCTAGAGAGATGATGCGTTTCAGATCGTACTTCAGTATTAATTCCTCAAAAGCCCCATGAATCTGTCTGACTCTGCAGAACTGAAAACTTATGCAAAGTTAATAAGTGAGGTTTACAGTGCAGGTGTTAATGTGGTGTGCATTTAAACCTCAAGTGTATTCATTCATTTCCCGGCGTTCAACGTAACAACAGACAAGCATAAACACCATTTTATACAGGGAGTGTCAACAGTCTTCAAACATTAGGTCTTGTAACATGTATACACCATCTTAGGACTTTCAGTTATGCGGTTGAAATTGGTTCCCATGGATGATATTTCTCTAATATCCGCGTTGTACTCATATATTTACCCAATACCCAATGGGACTTTTAAGTGTTGTGTGTTTTTACAACACTGAATCTCAGTGGACATCATTAAGATTTTGTCACACTAATAATATTTTCATATAATGTTCCACTTTTATACAATACATGCAGTCCAGGTAAGTATTAGACTGTACATTAAAGTGCCAAGTGTCAGCTTTAATTTGAAAAAAAGGCCACTTTAAAATGTGTAGTTTTATTTTGAAAAAAGACATTTATATTGGTATTATATTTTATCATGTTTAGCCCTTGTATTTTATTAGAGGGACTGATATTGGCACTTATTACTTATATTATTTTTTGTTTTGTTTTTGAACAGAAACACTGTTAGATACAGATACAGATACATAGATACAGTACACACAGCACCAGTTCACTTTTGGTTTCCTGAATGGTTAACATGAATATGTGATGGCTAATTTTTAAAATAACAGCCTTTCATGTCTTTCTTACAGATCCAAGCTGTGCAGAGAAACCTGAGTTCACTCCATCCAGACTGGTGGTGAAGTATGGTGGCCCAACCTCTGCCAGATGCTCCGTGTGTGAGTCTTGCACAAAAAAACATTTTTAATTTGGAAAGAGCTCTGGGAAACCATGAAATAAACGGAACCACAATTTTATGGGAGGTTGAAAAGATGACTGAATGGGGCACAACTGCAACGTGCTATTTTATTAATGCTACTGATCACCAGTGTCACAGCGTCCTGCCTGTAACTGTGTACAGCTAGTTAACTTGCTGTTTAACAAAATATTTAAACTAAAGAACACCAGTGATGGTTTCCTTTATTTGTTCTTTCAAATATACAGTTAACAGGATTTAAATTCAGCTTGCTCTGTATGTCTGTCTCTCTACATCTCTCTCTGTTTGTCTCTACGGAGCCTCCAGAGCTCCAGTATTGGTTTTCAATATTACTTTCTTGCTGCCTTAATATTCCAGATATTAATGTAGTCTGTTTTGTCTTTTTTCTCCCTTACCTTTCATCTGATTCTTTGCAGGAAACTTGCCCCTGGTGATGATCTTTGGAGCACAAGTTGGTTGCTGGTTATCATCGTCATCATGATCCACTACTTCAAATTTAGGTATGACTTTTTTTTTTGTTTGAGGCTACAGCATAGTATAGTTGTGTTTTAGTTTCTAAAGCTGAGATTGTTTTAATATTCAAATTGACACAATGCAAATCAATTCTCATGATAGACTGTTGTGATGCAAAGCTCATTACAAAGATGTAATACTGATATTTTGCCACTAGAGGGTGCTAGACTGTAATCTACAAAGTGAGCAGTGTTTAAAATGATCATTTTTGCCTTTCTAACTATGTATGTGTAACCAGAACCAGGGCAGGGCTGTCAGGGCTTTCAGTGTTTCAGATGGTTCTCAGAATGTACTGAGATTTGAGATACTCCCAATTAAGTACTCAGACTTTCTCCACCACGGTTTTATTCCCAGCAATCCGCGCTACAGCCCTGCTCAGAAGACATATACTGTGGGCTATATTTTAAGTTAGTCAGTCAGTAAGTACTCTGTCATTGCCATAGTTCCTATAATATGTGAATATATCATATTTGTGCTTTATTCACTAAGTTACAGTATTTTTATCGTTCATGCTCATGTTCACCAACAGTCAGCAGGAATTAAAGAATGGATCTTGAATTCTTGAACTCTTGAGCTGAGATTACAATCAAAACATAACTAGTGTGCAGTTACATAGTTCTCCATGACCATTTCCTCTCATTGAACAGACGAACTACTCCCAGGTCACAATATAAACAGGATTTTAGCTTTTGTACCACAGTTTTTCGGCATTGGCCGCACATACAGCATGATTCACAGAACTTGAGCCTTCCTTTGTTATTACCAGCAATAAATACATTATTCACATCATTACTTCCATTCGACAGCCAAAATTTAGTCATATTTGTAAACTTTAATGTTTTCCCCTCCAGCCAGCAGGACTGCCACAGTGTCTTTTTTCAGAGTGCCACTGGGGGGCGCCATATTATATAAATATTATCTGGTTATGACATTTTCTGAAAATGAGCTGACTTTATAGACTGCTCAATCTTTTCTTCTGATGACTTCAATAAGGAATGAAAGAAGTGTGTTACATTATGACTATTTCTATTTACACGTCAAGTAATTTAAAATATGAAAGCACTGACAAAAATATATGACATATATGTGTGAATCCAGTGGAAAATACAACATGGGCAGGTTGTAACTTGCGCAGACCTCACCCATCTTACCTGTCCAGTCGTGTTACCGTGCCACTGACACCAAAATAAAGTCACAGTGTTTAATAAGATATGTATTGATTAAGGATTCAAAGTTTTGTGGTTGAAAAACGCGACCTATATGGTAGTTCAGGTTGGAGGACTTGCTGAGTAATATATGCAGCAACATGCAGTGTTAAGGCTGTGCTAAAAGACCGTGGACGGACACTGAGACAATGGGCTCCTGGGCGGTGAGCACAGATATGTCAAAGGCCCCCCACACCTCCTGCATATAGGAATAACACACCCACACGGATGTAATCACAGAACACTGTGACTCTTTGTGGTTATTTTGCATCTATATTTAGTCTTTTCGTGTTTATTTTTAGCCACTTTGTGTCTTGCTCTGGTGATTTTGCATCTCTTTTCACATCTTTGTTGTCATTCTGTTTTTTTTTTGCGTCTGCTTTTGAGTCATTTTTCATTTCTTTATGGATTTTGTGTCTCACGTGCATTGCTTTTTTTTGTGTGTAATCATATTGCAACCACATCTCGTCATTTTGTATTTCTTTGTGGTTACTTTGCTTGATGAGATGATGAGAGGATTAGATGCACACCAAACTCAAAGAGAGTTTGGTGTGCATCTCTGCATAGTCGGTTTGTGTTTATTTCAGTGACATAATCCCTGATTCTTTGGGCCCCTGGGACTGTGCCCAGTGGCCCTGTTCAGTAATAAATCCACATAAAAGATGAGAATTAGAAGAAGGAAATATAAAGGATGAATTCAAATAAAAAAAAGATCTGTCTGAAATGGCTAGTGAAGAGTTTGATACATCACAGTTCAGTTCATTTGGAATTGGTAATAGATATATTAGTAAATAAACAATGAAATACCTAAACAACAATCTAAAAAGATACACAAAATATAGAGGCTGTAAACTTCAGGTAGGTTCAGTATGATCACAAATGAAGAATAATGTAATAAGGTAGGCCAGAGTAGGTCATTGTAAGTTGTCATTCGTGGTTTATTTCTTTATAAAAGTCATGTAAAGAAGTACATTGTGACCTTACCTGGAAATTAAAATGCTGTCTAGAAAGGACATTTTCAGTTGGTCCCTAAGACAACAAAGCGTAGTGAAGCAGGCTGATGATGATGCTGTGAGATGGTTAAAAATAGCCACATATTCCCTTCCCTAAATTGTAAGTATGAGTAAACTATATGATCTCAGTGGATAATGACCTTACACATGGTGGTTTCTTGACAAATTCAGACTGTGAAGCATGCAATACCCCCCCCCCCCCCGCCCACCCCCCCCCCCCCCATCCCCCCCCCCCCCGGAAATTAAATGTCACCCTAGGTCAACTTCCTAAAACCTAGGGTATTTACGTCAGTGTTATACTTCTGTTTTTTTTTTGTGTTTCTAGAGATGTCCATAAACATTGTTATCTTGCCTATAGGGTCATTTCAAAATAATCAACAAAATAATGGTAAAATAAAAGGGCCACCCATTTCTGCCAATGTATAACTTTAGCACTGACTTAAACCAGAGGGATGTCATTTTTCTTGGTATTTTGTTGTGTAACTCCTTGCTCAAAGTTCACTGACGCAGTCATTTCTACGGTGGCTGAGAGAGCTCAGCGCACTGCAGCTGAAGAAAACACATGCAAATAGACAAGACACAAGCAAATTAAGAAAACATCTTCATCAATTTGACAACATATGCCCTGCAAAAGACATCCAACACAACCAAATAGACAAAAAAAGGGCGCAAGTACTCACAACACAACCAGTACAAAAAACGCACTGCAAGTAGCACAGACGACAATCTGTTTCCATGGGACACAAAGAAAACAATGAATCAGTGCGAGCCATGTTATGTGTCAAACTCTTTGACTCACTGTCTCCTGCTCAAACAAAGCTATCACTTTTGACTGGAATACATGTAATAGTGCCAGCGTCACCCAAAGAACAAGTTTCATCTTGTTGATTCTTTAAAGAAAACGAATCAGCAAACTGTCAAACTATCCCTTTGACATGTTAACCACTGGATGCTGTTTTCTATCCATAAATTAATCAAAACAAATCAAAGGCCTCTTTCGTGACCTGGTTGAATATTAATGGCTTATAACTGACATATAAAGCATTAATGATTTGTAAAGCCATTAGTTACAACTTACAGACCCCTGAGAAGGAGTGGTTTATTGTGAGAAAGTGGGTCTGGTAAGGCGTGGTTCAACAGTATACTACAGTTCGCTGATGATTTTCATAGTTTGGTGAAAGTCAGACTTCCCTTGCTGCTGTTGTGTGGCGCTGCTGCTCTTTTCCTTTCACCGAGTGCCATCAAAATATCTGCGCTTTTGATATGGACTGCTGTCTTCCTCAGGCTACAAGCTGGAGTGGGGGAGGAGGTAATAATAGACTAAAAATAACCAGAATATAATTAGTTATACACAGGGAAACGTGAGGTAAAATCTGTGTGATATGGATTCACTATGACAAGGACACAGTCTTGTCTTTGATTTAAAAGTCGTTTCATGTGTGTGACCTTCCCCTGGCACGAAAGGGAGGAAACAGGAATCTCAGGAGGGAGATAAGGGAACTCTATCGCCAGGCCACAACTCCTCCACATGGCCACCAAAAAAAAAAAATCCAGCCTGAGAAGATTTGTGCTCTAATGTGTTAGACTACAGTGGTGGAAAATGATTAACTACACTCACAATTGAGGCTCATGTACTTTACTTGGATAAACTTTACTCCTTTTTAGAGAGAAACACTGTCATTCTTTGCTTGACGACATTTATCTGACAAACTGATTTAACATACGAAACATATGATTGACTCACACACCGCACCGCCTGCACATCTGCACAGATGCTTTTGGTTATGTGTCTGATTAGATGAACTCAGGTGTGCGCACAGGTCTGTGCACAGCTACATATTCTGGGAGTTTACGTAAGGTCACTACTGCAAGGGGCATAGGTTTGGTTTTAGCTTTGGTGGAAACATTTTTGTCAGATGGCCAAATTTTATGTGCACTTCTTCAATATCTCTTTTCTGATTCATTTGCACACGTGAGCCTGACTCTGCAGAAAATTTACTTGAACCCAGTGTTTGTTTACTGATAATATCTTGCCTGAAACTTTTAAAACAGATATTTAACAAGAAAACAATATATAAAACCTTGCGGGTAATGTGCTGCTCTGTATGAACCAACTATCTACTGTCAATCATCTTCAAATCTCTGTAGCTTCATCCTTTCAGCTCAAGAGTTTCATGCTCAATCTCATCTTTGAATTATGTCAAAAAACGTATTATTATGTTATTTTTCATTCAGCTGCTGATCTAATGGGAAGATCTATGACATCAGAGCTCACTTCAGAGCCTGCAGCTCACCTGTCTGTGTGTCTTTGTTATTCAGGCTGCTGTTGACATGATTTTCAGAATAAAATGATGCGTGACATGAACAAACAAACCAGTTGAACAAGCTGTAGCTAATTCTCTTTATATAATTTATTCTCTCATTCGCTGAGCTCAGCTGTTACTTACACTTCAGTTCTTCTTTAGGAAGGACAAGATGTCTGAATTCACTTTTGGTCTTTTCGCCTCACACATTAGTGACCACTCAACCACCGAAATTGAAATATTTTACAACTGAGGTTAAGTTTGTCTGGTGAAGATGTTTCCATGTCTAACATTTGAAAGAATTAAACTAATACTTACCTGCTGCTGCAGCTGGTCAACAATATGCAACAGTTTGAAGTTGAGGGGTTGCCAGATCAAGAGTCAAGCATCCCTCACAGTCCAGTCTTTCACTCTTTATTATAACAACAAACATTTTACTGAAAACACATAAACCTGGAAACTCATAGTTGCTGCAGAGATCTTACCTGTAACACAGAGAGATGTGTAAATATACTGGTATGAAAAATTAACTGTCACCTGGACATTGGTAGGGACATGTCTGTCCATACCCAAATAGTTTACTTGAAGTCCGCCTATTCAGCATTTATAAACAGTATAGAAACATTTAATAAATGGCTTATAACACAGTGCAATGTAGCTGTAAGCACGTACATATTAAAGTGTTTATTAATTGACTTATTATTAGGCTTTATAGGTTTTATTACATTGTCTTTCTGTCCATACACCAGCCTGCACTTGTGAGCGTCCACAGGAAGAGTTGCAGGTGTTAACAAATACATTAACAAACACTTAGATGTGTTTAAAACTATATTATAGAGTGTTATAAAGTATTAGGCCTAACTGCTTATGACCACCGAACACGGGGTCTTACAGTTAAGTGTTATCATTTCAGTTAACTTGTCAGGGCAGCCCCTATAATGTCCAGGTATTGTTAAATGACTCTGCTGAGAGTACGGGGATTTCCCGGTTGTGTTTAATTATTTTCAATTTCACATTTGGGCTTATCTGTACAGAGACATGACGTAACGTGAAAGTTGGAAATTCACTTGAGTCATGGAGAGATGTGTCTTGTGAATATTTGATCGCCACCTCGGCGTCTCTACTCCACAGGCTTTTACTTTCAGTCTCGGACACACTCTGTGATCGGCGCTGGTCACGAACACTTCGCTCACCGGACAGCTCTCTGTTTGCTCACACGTCAAACGGGAAAACAATGGTTTTCTGTAGAATATTTTTGGTTGTTTCTTTGGCGAATTTCCTTCGTGACTTCCATGTGTCCAGCTGTGGTAAGTTTCCTCGCATCTGTTGCGGTGGCGCGCGTTTCGTCGAGGTGCCGTCCATCGCGTATTATAGTGTTGAGATCCATTTCTGTGTTGTGTTTCATCATTTCAGCGCTGTGTGTTAGCAGATGGAGGCACATGGACTCTTGTTATTTAAAACGTGTTTGTCGTAGCCTAATCATTTTTAACGATTTGTTTGCCAAGCGTGTTTTTCCTTCATGTTTCTTTACCATGTGGTTTAGGTCTAGTACGTAGTTGTAGTGTATGATCTACAGCCTTTATAGTGTCCTTCATACTGCTGTGTAGTGTTAACGTGGTTTGTGTAGTAATGTACAAACCACTTGTTGACTTTCTTTCCTTAAGTTACATTTAGAAATATTATATGTATTGTACTTTTCTAAATCGTAATAAAGTAAATTTGAACTAGACCAAAACATTCACAGTGTAGATCAGGATATCAGCGGTGTCTTTATATCACTAACCCATAGTGGACTACAGTCAGTTCTAAAAGCTGGAAGTGTTACAGTCAGTGAATAGTTTGAACTGTGTAAATCACTGGTAAATAGCCATAGACCAACATATAACAAATAACCTTATTGATTGATCCAAAGATTGATAAGCAAATTGATTAGAAAAATGTGACTATATGTAGAATTAAAGAATATTTTGCTGAGTGTTTTACATCAGACTGTTTAAATTCACACCCTTTCATGTCTTTCTTACAGATCCAAGCTGTGCAGAGAAACCTGAATTCACTCCTTCCAGACTGGTTGTGAAGTATGGTGACGCAACCTCTGCCAGATGCTCCGTGTGCGAGTCTTGCTCAAAAGAAACTTTTGATTTAGAAAGAGCTCTGGGAGACCATACAACAAATGGAACCACAATTGTATGGAAGGTTAAAAATATGACTGAATGGGACACAACTACAACGTGCTATTTTACTAATGCTACTGATCACCAGTGTTGCACCGTCCTGCCTATAACTGTGTACAGTAAGTTAACTTTGTGTTTACCAAAATACCTAATCTAAAGAATATCAGTGATGGTTTCCTTTATTATTTGTTAACAGGATTTATACTCAGCTGGTCGGCTCTGGCTTGCTTTGTACGCCTGTGTGTCTACATCTCTCTCTGTTTGTCTCCACAGAGCCTCCAAACCGTGTCTCCATCAGCTTTCTTAATCACACTGGGCCGATGTTCATGGGCCATGACTACACTCTGCAGTGTGAAGTACAGAAGGTTGCTCCGGTTGAAAAGCTCAGTGTGACCTTCTACAGAGGACAAACAGCACTGGCTCAACTACAGTCCAACAACAAACAGAAGAAACCAGTGACTGAGATCTTCTCTCTGAGCATCACCCCCAGAAAAGAAGATAATGGACTCCAGTACTGGTGCGAGGCCAAGCTGGAACTGGGACCTGAAGGACCAGAGCTCCCTCCACTGGTGACATCACAAAGAGCCACTGCCACTGTTTTCTGTGAGTCCGACAACAAAGCCAACACACCTCAGCATTTCTGTTTTGCACAGCTCTCTCTGCTTATCATCTGGCTTCTTTTGAAGTTACAGAAGAAGATTTTTTATCTATTACTTAAAGCCACTTGAATCAATATTTTTATATAGGCAATGGATCAGTTGATTACTGCTATGTTAAATGTGTGGTAAATCGCCCTCATCTCTACGGTCTTTTGTAGCATCTCATAGCTCGTTGTTTTGGTTTTTCTGGCCCACAACAACAGTGGCAGCTGTTTGTAGTGAAAAGGCTCTAAAAATCCACTGTGCTCAGCAGGAAAACAGCAGACGAACAAAGTTAGCCACATAGTGGAACACTTAGCAGCTAAGGAGCCAGGTATTTCCCTCAGGAATTTGTGGAGACCAAAAGTAGAGCTAAAAGGATTGTAAATAGTAAATATTCAACTGTATCGCAGATTTGTCAGGAGGTCAGACTTCCAATCAATACTTTGCTTCATGTCTACTGGGTGTGTAGTTGGGCGATTGTTTGCTGACACATCTGCCGTATCAACCTGAAAGGTCAAAATGTTTCAGTGCTGTGTTTTAAGCTTGTTTCCGCCGCTACTAAGTAACAAAATAGTTATTGCTGGTGTAAATGTAGCAACGTTGAACTGTGCTGTCCACCTCTTTGGGTCACGCTGAAATATCTCAACAACTGCTGGATGGATTGCTATGACATTCTGTACAGAGATTTGTGGTCCCCAGAGGATGGAGCCTACTGACCCTGACTTTCCTTTAATGCCACGTAGAGGTTGACAACTCGTAGATGGATTGCCATGAAATTTAGCATTCGTGTCGCCCTCAGGATGACTTGAAATAACTTTGGTGATCCATAGACTTCCCATGTAGCACCATCATGAGATCAACATCAGTCCTTAATTATTGACATTCCAATCAGCCATGAGCTGTACTTTGTGTTTTGGTGCTAGTATCAGCACATTAGCATTCTGATGTTAGCATTTAGCTCAAAGCACCACTGCACTAAAATGCATAGCCAATGATTCTTACTTCTCTGACTGAACCGATGAACACAGTGATACTCATACCAGTAACTATAGCAAAGCTACTGCAGGGAGAACAAATTATAACAAAATATAGTACAAAAAAGTCACATGCCAGCAAAAAGTACCTACTTGTTCACAGGTCACACCAAAGTTAAAAAAAACTGTGATTCTTACTCAGGGTGAGATTTGGGAAGTTTATTCATGATGACGTAGTTGCTATGTGGGCGCTGAGCAAGACCCGTCCCTTGTCTTTTGTACATACACTTACGCAATGGTCAGGACTGCCTGGTGTGCCTTGGCAGGGGTCAGGATGAAAGAAAAAAAAATCATTCTTTTCCTTTAATGGCCCAAAATTGTTTCAGAAGTTAAACTACATAAAATGGCAAAAAAAAAGAAATTTAACTACTTGAATCAATGTGTGTATATGAATGTAGCTGAACTGCCAGCAAGCTACTGCAAAATATTGTAATACTTCTAGTTAAATTACACGTACTTCACTTCTCCCCAACACTGACTCATAACACGTCACTACCAGTTTGTTGTATCTAATGCAGTAAAATGATCATACGTTTTGTATATAAAACATTGATCTGCAAAGTATCTTTTAACTACAGTCGTTGAATAAGTATAGGAGAATATAAGGTATTTTCCTCTGAAATGTAAGTGGTGTAACAGTATGTAGTAGCAGAAACTGAAAGTAAAGAACACAAAATGATTGTGGTGAAGGAACTATGGTGCTTTCCACCACTGCTCTTTTACAACACACTGTGTCGATGAATGAGATGTGTAATTTTCCAAAATTGTTTCCATGTTGCTGTAATGACGTGTTGTGTTTCTTCCTCCCTCAACTCCCTCCCTCTACCAACACACAGATAAACCTCATCTAGAGACATCAGATCCAAAGACTGTCACCATCACAGAGGGGGAACGTCTACAACTGAACTGCACAGCTGTGGGAAACCCCAGCCCCTTATACACCTGGAAAATCCCGCCAGCTAGTCCTTCCCCCTGGAATAGCAGCGTTATCACTATCGAATCTGTAGCTTTTGAGCATGGAGGCCAGTACACCTGTGATGTTAGAAACAACGTGGGGGAAATCACTGTGATGTATAATGTTGATGTCAAAGGTGAGTTTTAAGTTTGTTTTTAAGATTGTTACTGAAAAGTGAGTCCCTGATGGAAAAACACAACATTGCTTTCAGTACTGCTTTTTCTGCTCTATTTTGAACTGACTGAAACAAAGAAGGAAGTTCATTGTGATTTGGTTGGTGGTAGTCTGATGTTTAATATCTCTCTTCTGTTTTTCTGTACTTTATTCTCCGCAGCCGACATCATCCCATACATTATATACGGGGTAGTAGGAGGTGGGCTTCTGCTTATCTTCTTCTCAACGATATTATTAATCCACTTCTACAAACACAACCGAATGGGACAGTACAATCTGAAGGACGTTTTTCGTTTGCACACACGACACGTTGCTGTGCCCATCACAGAGTAAGTCTGGGAAAGTATGAAATGTGCACGGACACTCTGGAGCAGTTGTTTTGTACATAACTACAGCGTTTAAGATGTCAACCATCACATCCAATGTTTGGCAATGGATTCTTGTTACATCTCCCTCACCCTCATTTCCTCTCATCTCTCTACTGGCGCTATCTGATGACATAAAATACCCCAAATAATATGATAAAAAAAAGAGTTTAAGTCAAGTTTGAACTTGTGTAACCTAAGTGATGAGTTGAACAAGTCACTAGACTCAACTGCTGTGTTTGTGAAAGCTTCAGTTTGCTGTTAGGCACAGCTGTATTTAGCCCGACCCCACCAGAAGTCTCTGTGTCTCAAGTCAACTCATACCTTGTGGTTAAACTTAAGTTTTAGGCCATAGACTGATGTATTAAAGGAGAGCTGTCTACACCAAAGGGTATTTCAAAAAGTGTGAAGCAAATATCATATTTTGTGGCACATTTTGTTTGTTTTTTTAAGTCAGAGAGGATTGTTTGTTGTTGTTTGTCTGCCAAAATTGTGTTATTCTATATTTCTATTGTTGTTGACGGATTCTATAAAAAGATTAAAACCAACAATGTGTTAATCTCTCAATACTTCAGTACTTTCCTATGTACTGTCTGTGGCACTCAGACCCAAGCCCATTCATTCCTGCTGAAGACATGAAACAAGTATATTTATAAAAAAAGGTTCAGCAATTTCATAATACAGCTGAGCACAGTTGTTTTTAGCAAACATTATTGACAAAACTTAGTTGTGCTTTTGTTGAGGCTCTCAAAATTAAGCCACTTTAGGGCCCACTTAAGTTTTATAATGTCTGCATTGTATCAAACAGATTCGTAACTGGTTACCACAAAATATTTTCCACACAGACACCTGGGGTCTTCTTCTTGAGTAAGATTAGCTCATGGTTTTAGTCTTTTCATGGGAACTGAATGAGAAAAATATAGAATATCAAAAGCCTTATTCTTGAACTAATGAGTTTGGTACTGTACAAGGAGGGCCTGTGGCTATTGCTGTCATTTGTGTGTCTTACTGTCCTCTGTTTGTATTCCTAACCTGTCATTTCATTGGCTTTAGAACACCCACACTGCGTCACACTGGCACATTTACATGTAAATGTAGATTAATGTGCATTGTTATTGCTGTTTCACATAATTTTAACCAGTTTCAACTGCAGTTGTATTGGGGTAGTGGATGAAAAAGGATGAAATTCTCTAAGTATATTGAAACAGTGCAGATTGTTTGATAATAACATGTGAAAGTATTAGATGAAAGTAGTGTATAAATAAAGAAGACTTTCTTTTTCTTTGCAATTACTAAAAAAGTTAATTGCAACATCACTACTATTTTGTCATTTACAAAGGGAAGTGGGAAATTATGTTCATGCTAACATATCAGTATTATGCATTGTTCTTTTGTTCAGGTGAACATGCTGTTTTGCTGTTTCTCATGATTTTATTTTGGGTATATTACTACAAAGAACTTCATAGCCTTATATAGAGAAGTGCTACATTGAGGAAGTTAAATATGTGAAAACTGAAGTTCACAGCTGCTACTATACCACAGAAAGCTTGAGCCTGACCTCAACCAACTTCCATCAAAAGTTCCTGTGTGAATTTACTCACTGTGTGTATGGCATGATTCATACAAGCAAATGCTGTATAATGATGAACTTTACACTGGAACTTAAGTAAGGAGATATAAGCTTCGATCAGTTTATTTTTAAAGCATGAATAAATGGTATCACTTCCTTGTCCTTCATTGATGATTTACTTACAAGGTGCTTTCTATTAACAGTAGTTAAATGAGACAGTGTTAAAACACCACAACACTGATCCACCAATAGGTTAAAAATAGTATTTGCTTATTATCAGTTGTCCAATGTAAGAATCTGACCTTGTTTCATAGTATAAATAAAAGATTATTAGACAGACTTTTTTTTTAAGTACATTTTTTTGGGCTTTTGTGCCTTTATTGGACAGGATAGTATAGAGAGACAGGAAATGTAGAGGCAGAGAGAGGGGGAATGACATGCAGTAAAGGGCCGTCCGATGCGGGATTCGAACCGGGGCTGACTGCAGCAAGGACTGTAGCCTCTACATATGGGGTGCCTGCTCAACCCACTGTGCCACTTGACGCCCCAGATTATTAGACGGACTTAAATAGTTCTACACTGTGACAAAATGGAAAGTATGTGGAATGTACTAAAAGAAACGGGACATAGTAATTACAGTTTTCCTGTTTGTGAGATTATTCATTGCTGGCTTAATTTCTTCAGAACTATGGATCTCTGAGGCTTTTACAGGAAACTCCACTTCTGTTATATGGGCTGGTTAAAGTGGAACAAGTGACTACATCCTGGAAATGTTTTACTTTCCCTGTCCTCTTCCTCCTCTCCTTACACGAGGAGATTTGAGAAGGATGAGGAGAGGAAGAGAAGCAGATTTAAGGAATGGTTGATTTCATCCTTGAATGTGAATGTAAAATAGAGGAATCCATCTGTAATGGTTAATAGTGCCATCATTAACCAAGAGTTAAAATATATTTAGGAGTATGAACAATTTGAAATCTCAGCATATTTCAGCCTCTTTTCACGGGAAAATTTAATTAGTGTGGTACAGATTCACATCTCCATTAGATCATGTTTCATTTGCATGATTAAGGTAAATCTGTTTCTGACGAGTGTTACCCCAGTTTTTATTAGATCTATTAGATGAACCTGTTTTCTCATTGTCGGGACAACACATTTTCCTCCTAGTCTTAAATGAATTCAATTCTTGTGACTGTTGTCAAAACAGGTCCATTGTTCATGCCCTAGACCTCAGGGGTCATGTACAACTGACAAGAAATGACGGGTCACATTTTTTGCAAACTACGACTAAACATCATGGCATGTCCAAAAGGTGAAAACACTTGCAGAGGAAACACCTGTGAATCCGGCCTGCATCTGTTTCCCGCTGTGTCAATGTTTTATGGTTGCAAAAGGTCACGCTTGTCAAACATGTATATGGCCTGTATATTTGGTGTGTGGTATTATTATTTTTTTTATAGTGCTTCAAAAGATGTAAGATTTAATTTGAGATATCTGTCTCTGAAATTTAATCAATAGGCTTCAATAGAGGTGAATAAGAAAATTAAACAGCTTTCTTTCCAGAAACAGTGTCCTTGTTAGGGATGATCCACATTCACAGAACACAGTGTCTGCAATTTTCACTGGACCTACTTCCTATTGAAGAAATGGTCCCTTCGAAAACTGTAGCCACACAGTGTAGACTGTGGAAACGACCCCTCCCATACCCAACCATCTCAAATGTCAGCGGACAAGGGTTTCCTCTTGTCACAAATCCCATTTTAAGCCCTGACTGAATGGTATGTTTATAGTAAACCACATATGTATTTATCTACATGTTTACATACTGAAAGAAATAATCATTTTTGTCCAGTATCCTTCTGGGTTCACAAGTTGTGACTCTCCCTGCTCAGTTAAAGGAATCATATCAGTAGCCTACATACCAGTAAACAAGAAGTGCAAAACAAAACCAAAACAATTTCAATAAAAACTGAACATTATGCTCCTCATGAAAGGAGGATTTATTGCTGGACTGTTGTAGCCTATCAGATTGCATTAGGTTTAGCTAAACTTTTAGATTCCTAATACCAGCTCCTATAATTAATAATGATTTTGTCTTATTTACTCCATATTTCTATTAACATTAATATTCCCAATTTCAGTGCTTCTACCGTAGGCCTAGGCCTATATAATATAACTATCATTATATTATCACTGTTGTTATTTTGTAAACAAAACAAAACAAATATCTGCTCTTCCTGATGACGTATGTCGGTTGGATTCCCTGCGCGCGCAGCAGTCGTTCTACCGGGGACTTAATTAAACGGCTGGTGGCAGCTCCTCTCACTAAGAGGATTGAAAAACGATCCATTTCTGTCTCGTTTGTTCACTTTGCTGACGCTTTGTCAGTGTAGTGCCCCAGCTGAGCAGCCCTGTAGTTTCCCTCCGCTGTGACTGAAACTGGAAAACCCCGGGGACAGGAGGCAGAACTAGGCTGGAAGATGAGCACCCGAGCCGGCGTCGACTACAGCGCCTGGGATCACATCTATGTGTCAGACGACGAAGATGTAGCCAGTCCGTATGTCGACACGCCGAGCTTATTCAGAATGAGACACCGGGTCAGCAGTGAAACTTGTTGTAGCCGTGAAGTTTGGAGTCTTATACCTGGTTAGTTTTACCAGTAGAAGTGTCTCTTAGTAACTGACCGATAGCCAGAGCTGTCCGTACAGAGCTTGACCGGCAGGTATTAGACAAAAATCTGTGACCTGTCTGATACTGTGTTGCTAAAAGAACTGCTAGCTAAAGGCTAGCTAGAAAAGTGTATTGGTAAAGCACTTTTTAAAATACAGGTGCTTTACGAAAAGGAAAAAAGGGAGATGGAAGAGAACACACTACTTGAAAACAAGCAGAATTAATGATATATACTAAACAGCTATAAATATTGTGACCATATATAAATACCATGTGGTCACAGTATTTTGTGACACCAGACAGTTTGTTGTTAAGTTTGTTACTTAATTTGTATTTAGGGGGGTCACAATATTTGCTTATCAATACAATATTTCTATTTTCATATTTGGTTTTCTATCAAAATTTATAACCACATTTGTATATTATGGGGTCTGGTTTAACAACTCACAGTATTTGTGACCCTATGTAAATAGCTATAGGCACCATTCATTTGCAACAGATATGTGACCCTGATAAAAATGTGTGCAGTGCTAATAGCACCTAATCAATTCACATGATCTGACAGATTGCTATTGCATCTTATCAAGGGGAAATAATTAGAGCACTAACAAGAAATTTCAGTACAGAAATGTCAAAAATATGTTTGACATAGAGCATGAAAGTTTAATCTTTATCTTGGGAAATTTGAGTTTGACTAAATAATCTTCACTTAAGGTCCACTTAGTAGCCTTTTTCTTCATCTCGCAGTCTCCTTAGTAGCTTTGTCCAAAGCTCTCTACTGAATCTCACAGCCTTCTTCACCATCCACCATTGAAGATTGTGGGATGCAGTTGAATGCTCTGGAAAAAGCTAATAAGTGGACTTTAAGTTAAGATTTGACAGCTTGTCCATGAGATACTACTGCAAAGTTTACTTTTCAACTCTAGAAGTGGTTACAACAGTAAATCTCTGGTAGCCTCATCAAATGTGTTTTTATGTTTTGCAGGAATATTGGCACATATATGATTATCCATTAATATTTGTTTTTAACTTTAAAATATATACACTGATATAAGCCTCAAACATCCACTATTTGCCTGGCTCTAGTTTTTTTTTTTTTATTATTTCACACAGTCCTTTTGAGTATCACCTTGGTTAGATGTGAAAAAAATTAGGCAAAAAGTGGAAAAAAGATATATGAATTATATCTAGTATGGTTGCTACAGTAACCACAATGGTCAAGCTCTGTCTCTTTAAATGTGAATCTGGGTAATGAGCTTAACTTGTTGGTACCCAGTCATGTGACTTGTTAAGTAAATTCTTGTAGTCTCCAGCTCCCTCCTATTTTTTTTTTTTATGTTTTTCGTTCCTGTGTAGATGTTTGACAATAATTCAAAGATAGTTTAGATGTTGGAAAGTCCAAATAACTCCACTGGCATGTTTGGAATGTCTCAACTATGTGTGGAGAGACTGTAGTGAAGATAAACATATGAGGCCTTACTCATTTTCATTCAAACCTGAACTATAAGTCTATGTAGCCAGACACAAGACAGAACACTTCATATCTATGATATTTGACATATCTCTCCCACATCAGGCACTGATTTAATACAAATGCATTTATTTTAAAATAAAATAGACTGTGCAATGTAGGTTTTAGGCAGTTGTTTCAGTCTTATGCACAGACTGGTGTTCCTGTTTTTTTTGTTTCCTGTCATGCACACATCCTTTTTTTAATGTGTGTGATGTAGTTTTCTTCTAATTTAACTTTTGAGTGTCCCCTCCCTATCTGATCCCCTGACTGTCATCCACTCTGGCTTGCCACAACAGGCCCGGTTAGAGAGAATGGCTGAGTTTCAGCAGAAAGGGGAAGATCTGGAGAACAACTTTGCTGAATGCAAGAGGTTATTAGAGGAAGCCCAGGGACGACTTAGGGAGCTGCAACAAGTAAAGAAGGAGGGAGAGGAAGATGAGGAGCAGGAGGCTGAGCTGAAGAAAGTTCAGACTGAGGTGAGAGAACTGAAGAAGGATCAAAAGGCGTTTGAGAAAATGATGGAGCAACACCGGCGAGAAGAAAAGAAACTGCCCTGGAACGTCGACACTATCAGCAAAGAAGGTTTCAGCAAGGTAAGGTGTGGCAGGGTTTACCAGATTTAATGTGATTTGTCAGTATGCCAATTAATCTGTTTTCTATTACTTGTTTTCTAGAGCGTACTCAACATCCAGCCTGTAACAAAGGAGGAAACGGAGGAAGTGGTGGAAAAGCACAAGACCTTTGTGCAGAAGTATACAAAGGAAATCAAACACTTTGGTATGCTTTAGACTTACTGAACCTGATGTTTACTACAAAATGGGAAAGGTACTACCAAGCCAATAGTGAAGGATTTTGGGGTTAAGAATTTTTCCTGATAGCTACAAGTTAATAAGTTGTGATGAATGCTGATGTGTTTATAAGGTAACTCAAACAATTTATTATTTAATTTCCAGTAGGAGGAATCAAAATGGACAGATATTAAGAAATGGCCAAGAGATCCTGGAGGAAAAGCAGACGGGAAATAGTCTTGGTGGGGTTATAAACAGACTGAGGGCTGCCAATCTGGTTTCAAGCAGCATTCCACAAGTTAAAATTATACATCATCTTATCAAACACATTTTTGTGACTAACTTCTCTCACTGTTTTTTGCACTCACTGCTGCTTGTAGCATTTTACTTAGAGTTACATAAACAAGAAAATAAACAAACTGAGCAGGATCAATTCCCCACTGGAAGCACATAAATCTTGCTTGGAATGATGAGCGAATGTTTGGCCTTTCTGTATCTGGCAAATGTCCACATCTTTCAAACTTAACACCCCTAGTCTGTAACTCAGGCTTCCTTTTTAAAAATGTGCACTCTCCAAACCAAGCTGAGATAACCCAGATGACATTGCCAGGGTTACTTTTTCAGACTTTGCAAAGCTTCCTTAGACCCACAGAAGGCATCATACATTACGAGCAGTCCTCCCAGTGATGAGCACGCTGACCCATATGTATAAAAGCAGTGGAGTTCCCCCTTTAAAATGTTGAGCTCATGGAAATTATTTGTTGCAATCTATTTCTTTTTTTACTCTTCTTGTTTCCAGTTATGTTCTTGTCATGTTTTGTAATGGTCTAAACACAAAATCCCCAGTTTTGAAAAGGGAACAAGGCAGCGAAAGTTTTTTTTTTTATTTTTTATTGTGAGTCAACTAGCAACAGTGTTTTCAAGCCATTTGAACATACTCCACTTCTCATGTTGAAAAAAACTCAGGACTTCCAGTTGAATGCAGCATTTTGCTGGATTTGTTTGTGTGTGCACCAGGTATGTTGCGGCGTTGGGACGACAGTCAGAAGTATCTGTCAGACAACCCACATCTGGTGTGCGAAGAGACAGCTAACTACCTAGTTGTCATCTGTATTGACTTTGAAATAGATGAGGTGAGTGCTGTGAGAAAATTACTCTGGATTAAAGCAACTCGTTCAGCCTGATAAAAACCTTGTTAATTCTCCTTGTACTTATAGAAACATGCACTGATGGAGCAGGTGGCCCACCAGGCCATCGTCATGCAGTTCATCCTGGATTTGGCTCGGACACTGAAGGTCGACCCAAGAGGCTGCTTCAGACAATTCTTCTCAAAGATCAAGGTCTGTAATGAAATGTGATCTCTTGCATCTTTGTCTGTGTAGTCACGTTCCCTAGGAAAAAGTTCTATTTGTTTATTTTATTTGTTGGAATTTGGTCATATCTTTGTTATCTTTGTTTATCTTTGTCGTTTTTTTGTGGTAGATTTGATTGAGTTTAAAAAGAAAGCAAAGCATACCCCACCCCTACAGATAACATCCCACGACTGTAGTGAAACGGTTGCTGGTGAAAAAACAGTGCTTATCAAGATGGTTAGAGGAAACAGTGGAGAGATTGTGAGAAGTCTGTGACCATTATCAGCAAAAAGACAGACATATCAGAACTGTTATTGCAGTTAGCATCTTTTATTTGTTTATGTTTGCAACTGCTAGTGGCTGCCAGTGTCAGTGACTCCGTTAATGCAAACTCTCGCTCTCTGTACTGACAAATTTCAGGATTATTTTGCCCACCCCTTCAAGTTGACAAGATTGGTTCCTTATGTATATGATGTATGAAACCCTGGCTGTCTAATATGTTTTTAGGAGACTGGCATTGGTTCACTACAGTTCCAAGGTGGAAATACACAGTCATGATGGTGACTGCTCATGATATGTCTTGTATTATATACCACCATATGGACATGTTAACAAGGTTTTCTTCAGAGGGGGTTTTTAAATCAAATAACAGTCTTCAGTCCACTTCAGTAGTCATATCATCTTATGTATCATGTAGTGCCTGAAGGTAGTGTTATGAGATGGGTCTTCCACTCCAAGGAACACTTACCCCTTAAAAGTAAGCTTTTCAAATCTGCAGCTAAATAATCTAGAAAAAGTACCCAAACCATCAGAAACAACCCATCATTCCCTTTTAAGAAAGCGGCCCAGATTATTTAATGTGTGAGGTTGTTGACATTAGGTGGAGTATCTTTGATCCATAAGATCGATATTCATAAGAGGTGCTTATTAGAGATGCCCCGATTGATTGGCTGCTGATCATGATTGGCCGATTTTCATTAAAAATAGATTGGTAGATTGGAATTGATGCTTCTAGTCACTGAACACCTTTAAACCGATCACCTGTTGTTGTTAATAATCCGGTGTCTGCAGCTGAGAGAAGCACTGTGTGCTGTCCCGCCTCCCACCTTGTTCAATGCGGCAGCGTGTCACAGGCCACCAAAACAAAACAACATGTGGAAATTTTACAAAGTGTGTGAGACTGATATAATGTACGCCATCTGCAATTCATGTCAAAATTGACCAGTATCGGGCCTCCCTAGGGTCTATCAAAAGTTTAAAGTATGATAAGGGGAGAAACGAGGCTCTTTTCTGTAAACAAATGCCCAGAATCTAGAAATTAGTTTACACTCCAAAAAGCAGTAGAATCACAGCTTCATATCTGACAGTGACAGCACAGTGTATTCAGGAAGGGGGCATGATCTATTATTGCAAGGTAACACGAGTGATATGCAGCCTGTGGAGAATCTTGAACGGAGTCTCCCTCAATCTGCTGCATGTAAAGGTAGATCTAAGCAAACCTGTTACCGCCTGACAATCGTCTTTGATATATTCATTACTCAAATCTCTTTCCCATTACATGAAATGTTTTGCACTCAGAAATAAATCCCTCTGTCACTATAAGGGAGGTCTAAGGGAAAACCTGAAGGGATCTGAGATGCTTAATTTCATATCTTCCATCTCAGACTGCAGACAAGCCATACCAAGATGCATTTGACCGTGAGCTGGAGTTGCTGAAGGAGCGGGTCCGCAGCTGTGCACAGATTCGTATGGAGGACGCCATGAAGGAGGTGGAGGAGGAGGAGAGGCAGAAGAGACTAGGCCCGGGTGGTTTAGACCCTGTAGAGGTCTATGAATCACTGCCAAAGGTAACCACAAATACACACATGCACACACTGGCACACGCATAGACTTCTGAGAATTTCAGAAGTGTTTGCCACAGGGCTGTCGCTGTTTTTTTCCTGAAATGCAACAAATGGTGCCAGTTCTATTTTCGAGTGAATATCGCTGCAATTTTTTTTGACTTAAAATGCACAAGTGTGCAAGTGTCAAAAGAGCAGGTTAATATGCCTTAACAGAAGGCAAGGAATGGGTGGTGGATGATAATTTTATAAAGCAATCTCAAAATAAGAAAACACTATGAATGAAAAATGGTTGTTTCTTATTTTGAGCGGTGTTTGTTCTCGGCCAACAAATATTATTGCCTGATATTTAGTTTGGTGACTTCTTCCTCTATGATTAAGTTTCTCAGTCCATTTCTCAGTATTTAGGAGTTGGAGTGTCAATTTTATTTACAAACCAATACCTGTTTGTCTTATTTCATCAGTTTCATAAATTTCAGAGGCGTATACGGACAAATATAAACATCCATTTAAATCAGACCCGAGTCAGATTTTCTGCCCACTGCAATGTCGATATCATGTACATTTATGTCTCTCAGTTTGCTGTTGTTAGACAAGCACAATTCAATAAAAGGTCTTTAAATAACTCATTCAATAAATAATCCTGGTAGGTAAAATCCATCAAAGTCTGTGTCAGACTAAACTAAACTTTTTATCCCAGTAATTAACATTGAGTGTTTACAAAATGGGAGGTTTCCACAGCCACTGTAACAGCAAGATTTAATGTAGCTTTACACTGCAACCAAAAAAAGCATGTGTTGCCTCGCTCCACATCCCTCGAGGCTGTGAGAGAAAACAACAGGTCTGTTAGAGCGTCTCCCATCTCATCCAGTTTACACAGCACATCACATTCAACACTTCTGCTGTAGCTGCTGAAGCAACAAGGCAGAAAAAGTCAATACTGCAGATGAACCTATACACACCAGCATTAGCCACCTGGCCACAAGTTATTGTTTTGTTCAGTTTTCGATTCTTAATACTCAAGAATTTGTCGATTCTTGAGTATTAACACGTGATATTGGTTTCACTACCTCCACCAAGTAGGCTATGTTTTCACCCGTGTCTGTTTGAACCGATTTGCACTGAACTCGGTGGACTGATGGGGCATGGGGAATGGGGCCGGAGAGAACCCATAAAATTTTGAGGTAGATTGTTGTTTGACATTGGCCTTGGCGGAGGTCTGTGCTCTACAGTGGTGTCATTAGTGTCTTCCAGTGACATGTAATGGTTTACATTTTATAGGCACATATCTGGAGTCCATTCGTACTGTATTTCATGTAACATTTCTCCATAGTTTTTTTTATTTTTATTGAAAACATTTTTACGACAACATTTCTGTGTGATGGCTGTCTTACTACCAGCCAAGTGTATTTTGAAGAGTTATTTATCCTGAGCCACAAAAAGTCTTTTTCCTCTTTAATTTTTTTTTATTTTTTACCTTTTTATAAAAGTAGTCTCTGACCTGAAGGTATCTGAAGAAATCTCTCTTTTCAATGTCGTATGTATTTGAAAGGGGTTTTAAAGACTGTACACTATTTAATGACCTGTTTGAAAACAAATAGTTACTTTAAGAGTCGTGTAGTTGGTGCGAGAGCCTGCATTTAATTTTTTTCAGATATCCGATCGTTGTTTGTAGATTTTGAAGTCAGTGTTTGCGCAGTCTATTGATGCCAGAGACGTCAATACACAGCTCAGCAGAATGGACTCTGCTCTTTGTACAAGGTAAATGGCATCATCTACTTTCCCTAAGCTTAAATTTGAACAAAGTTGTTGATGATATGATAAACTTCAGAACGGTAAAGTTAAGACAGAACTTAATAAGATTGGAGAACAGTGAGGTGCATATTAAAGTGATCATATGCATTTTAAACATGACATTGAACAATTGTTTTTCCTACAGGGATCATTTCACTAGGTTCATTGCATTACATCAGTACTTTGACAGTTTTTGTTTTATAGGAAATACAAAGGAGCTTTGACGAGAAGAACATTCAGATGCTGCAGGACGCTCTCAGCAAACTGGACCCTGAGGTGAGTGTGTTTGTAACTGAGAGTCAAAGTAATAACAGTAATGTCCAGTCAAGAAAAGTATCATGGTGAGGATCAGAAAGTGTTGAATTGGCACAAAATGCCACCAAAATTTATTTATTTATTCATTCATTCATTCATTCATTCTGTCTTGAACTGGTATCTCTGTGTTTTCTCTCTACAGGAAGGAAAATACCATCTGAGGAGGTGTATTGACTCTGGATTGTGGGTCCCAGATTCAGGACAGGGTAATGATGAGGAAGAGGAAGAGGAAGAGGGTTAAGAATAGAAGGAAGCTAAACAAAAAGGGGAGATAATGTTTCTGGTGGCATTAGTTGAACTGATACACTTGTTTTTTTCTGCAATTTTGACCCACATTATCACTTTAAGATAATATTTGTTTTTGTTAGTTCAGCTTGAATTTGTTTATATTTGAAAACTCATCGGACAGGGTCCAACAAGTAAGTAATGTTTCATACATGCAACAAAATGTCCATAGTAGTGAATCATTACAGTATTTTCTAGGCATATTAAATCAATGTACATTAAAATGTAAAAATTTATAATTTATACATTTTCAAATATATAAATATTTAATAAGAATATGGACTAAATTATCATATGATTAAAAAAAACTGATCAGCAAGTACTGGATTAGCACCACTTTCAGTCTCTTTCAGTTTGTGCAACTGAGTAAAAGAATATTATATCTTTTAGACATGTCTCAATCTGTTTTTCGTAGACGTTATCAAATGAATGTCATTAGAAATAGCAGATCTCACACAGACTCTAACAGGCACCACACTTTCTGATTTTTTTTTTTGATCTACTCATTTTATTTTTGATGATGCCAAATTTACGCCAAAATATTAAATACACTATTGGGTCTAAATTCCAAAAGTTGCTCTGTGCATATTTAAAAAAAAAACTGTAGATAGGGCCGCAAACTGGATGAGAAACTGATGCTAATAAAATGTCTGACTTTCATTAGTCAGCAGTGTAAGCCAATGTCTCAGATATATCTAAAATATTTATCCAAATATTTATTTTTATAAAAAAAAAGTCTAGCACTGCATCACAGATTCTTTGAGGTATAACCATCTTTCTACTGTAATCCTTTCTACTGTTGTGCTACTGTGGCCGACAGCGCCATCTCAAGTCTGTTTGGGGACAGGCAGCCCATGAACTACATCGGTATCCTGTATGGTGAACAGTGTTGGGTAAATTTGAAGTCCCCTGATAATTTTATTTTGTAGTCAATATCAACTTGTCCTAAGATGACGGCAGCAGCCCTAACAGTGCAGTGTGCTTCAAAGTCAAGCTTTCCACCTGTAGGATTGTCAGGTCAGAGTTTAAGAACCTTAGTTAACTATTGGTACAGTGTCAATGGGTTCTGAAATTTAAAGATTACCTTGTGGCTTGTATGTAGTGGACAGAATGACAAACACCGTAGATTACAGCAGACCGGCATTATATAAAAATTAGGTGAACTTTTCATTTTTGTTGTGACTGTCAGAAGCCTCGAATCACCTACAAAGTGAGTGTTTTCCGTCTTGTTTTTACGAGCATGTATCCTTGGCACGAGAGGAAATAGAGCTCGGCCAACAAATCAGCGGCCAAATATGTCGGCCAGTATTACTGTAGATATATGTACTTATCAGCGTATATGTTAGGCGATAAGTAACAAGAAATTGCAGAATAGAAATGCCATAGACATGTTTCAGATGATTAAGAAACTGTTAATTGTAATAATTATATTAGATGATATATGTCATCAAGTGTTTGTAACTATCATAGATAGATACTGGTATCAGCCTCAGAAATCAAGTGTTGGTCGGGCTGTAGTTGGTAATTCAGGCATCTAAGAGTAAACCTGTCAGATGGATTGAATTAAAATAAAATAACCTCAAAGCCCAACCTTGCTTTGCAGATTTCAACATTGATTCATTACAGTTAATCTGCCAGAACTACTACTGTCATGAACAATGACAGTAATGATTCATCCTCTATCAATTGCCTGATCAATTAGTCATCAAATCGTTTAAACTTTAAAAGAGATGTAGAGTTCGTCCAACTGAACGCTAGTTCAAATAAAGTTGTTTTATTGTTGCTACTTGGTAATTTTTAATAGTTTTTGTGTAAAGGTTTTACAAGCAGTATGTTTTTATTTAGTAGTTATCCTTGCAGATGTGAGACTGGTTTTATGTTGTGTTGTAGAACTTGCACAATAAACCAGACTTGATTTTCGTTGTTAACAAACTGTTTCTGTTCAGTTTCCTAACTTTTCCCCTGGTTGGTGTGAATCATGACTCATTTTCTGCCTTTCTTCTCTCTCCATCTCCATCTCTCTCTTTCACTTGCATAATTAATTGCTGGGTCGCTCTCTCGCCCTCTCGCTCCTTCATAATTAATTGGTGGGTTTGATTTAGTGGTCTGTGCAGGATTTTTTTGAGGCAAAGCTTCTTTGTGCAGTCACTTTTGTAAATAGAAAACAATCAGCGCAGGCGCAGGGCATAAATCAAATCTAGATAATGCCTATAAAAGGGGAGACTTACAGAATAGCGTTGCAGCTTCATGTACAACTGTTTGTGTGTGTTTATTTGTATGTTGACAGTCAGTTTATATCAATGTGTTGCAGTCCTGCAACAGTCTCTCCTGATGTGTGAATGTTATACTAATTTTGAAAAAGCATTGAACAAGCAAAAGTCAGCGCAGGTTTAGTTTTTGGATGTTTGCAGAGATCATCAGAGGCTGCGCTGCAGACTGTCACAGTCTGTCTTATAGCTGAGACAGTTAGTCACTTAATCAATTAGTTGATTGACCAAAAATTAATTGGCAGGTATCTGGTAATTAATTGATTTACTTCCTTGTCTTACTTTATAGTAAACTAAATACCTTTGAGTTTGGGACCATTGACAAACAATTTGAAAGCCTCATCTCAGCGTATGGGAATTTATTTTTCAGTATTTTCTGACATTTTATCGACCGAATGATGAATCAGTGAATTCTGAAAATAATGATTAATCATTAATGGAAATAACCGTTTGTTGCAGCCCTTCTTAACTTCATTAGACTACTTTAGAGCTCAAATTATTTGTCAATTAATCAATTAGTTAGTAGAAAATTAATCAACAATTTTAGTAATTAATCGTTTAAGTCATTTTTAAGCAAAAAAATCCTGTTGATGTGAATATTTGCAGCCTTAGTCTTTTTCTTAAGTTTTCAATTATGGTAAACTGAATATATTCGAGTTTTGCAGTGTTGGACTTTTTAAAAGAGAAATTTTAACTTTGCATTTAGGAAATTGTGATGGACAGTTTTCACAACAAGAATAATAAATGAATGAAAATGATTGTTAGTTACGATCTTATTGTTTGTTATTGAAGGAGTAAATTCATGAAGTGTAGCTTTAGCACAAAAAATATGGATTGTGCTCCAAACTGTCCAAGATTTGAAAATAAATAGAGTAGCATGATGATGCCTGTTTTAGGGTTTAAAATGGATAGATGTATTGTATGTCCTTGAATGACTGTAAAAGGACATAGTCAATAGGAGTGAGAGAGAAAAGGAGAGTGAGTAACAGGAGACATGATTCCTTATTGTGATTTTTTTTTTTTTTTTTTTATGTGAGCAGTGTGTGCCAATAAAAATCTGCTTTGTGTGTGGGTGAGTATGATGGAGAGAACTGACGCCTGACTATTGAAGCAGAGAATCGGCATGTGGCTGCCAATAAGAGAAAAACATAAAAGGCATTGCCAGAGAGAGAGAGAGAGAGAGAGAGAGAGAGAAAGAGAAAGCAGGGGTACCGATGGAGAGAGGAGGAGCGGAGGCTGTTGTATGGGATTAATGGACACACTGTGCGTCTGTGCGGGAGGAGGAAGGGAAGGGAAGGGGAGGGGAGGGGAGGGGAGATGGGCTTCTCCACGAAGGCTGTGCTGGTGGTGGTGGTGGGGGGTGGCTGGGGGAGACCACTGTGGCAGGGGAGAGGGAGAGGAGAGTCAGGGAGGGAGGGAAGCTGGTGAAGCCGCGGATATTCACGGAGACGCCAAGTGTTTTTTTCTCTCGCTGTGGTGACACACTGCTGGTCTGCAGAGAGACAGAGGGAACGGGAAGACAGAGGGGGAAGCAGACAAGTGAAAGCAAGACGAGGCCCAGCCCATCTTGCCATTGATCTTGAGGCGATCAAGGTGAGTGTGTTTTTATTCTTACATGCTGCAGCCTGACTGTGTATGTGTACATGTGTGTATGTCTGACATGTCTTGCAGTGGGTCTGCAGACAGGCGTGATGGCAGGGCAGTCCTCATATATTCATGGTTTCAGTGTGTGGGTTTTTTTTTTTAATACATATATTTGGGTGTTTTGTAACAGAAGAGCAGACTGCTAGTTGAGCTGCATATTGATGCATTGCTGCTTGGTTTTATAAGCTGTATCTGTAGTGGAGAAGGTACTGGTTGCAGCCATGGTCTGTGTGTGTGTGTGTGTGTGTGTGTGTATGTGCTCAAATTTCTCAGTGTCTGTTCATATATATGTCACTGTGTCACTATGCATTTGTTGATTTCTCTGCACAGACCTGTTTTGACTCTGCGAATCTGTGCAGACTCTATAGTGTGAAAGTCCATTCATTGAGTGGGTGTGTTCTTGGTGACCCTGGTAAAAGTCGTCTCCACCACTATCTGTCTGTGTACCAGCTCAATCAGAAACACTCTGATATGCTGAATCTGTCCTATCCAATGGAATTAGGTCAGCTCGGACTGCTTGGAGTAATTATATAACATCAGAGTGCTTTGGTGTTGCAGTATCTGCTCAGAATTAGCCAAACTGAAGGTACAGCTCCTGCAGGGCCACGACAGCCAAAATATTTTGTCAGTTTTTGATTCATTTATCAGTCGACCAACCATTCGTTTGGATATTAGTTAAGAAACTGGGATTTTTATTAGCATTTCATTGGTTTTCATGCATGATCTTTGCATTGTGGAAAACAATTGGCATTTGTTCCAAAATATATCTCCAAGGTGGTTTGTGTTACTAAAGCGGTATTTTATATGTGAGTAAAGGATTTTCTTACATTTGATGATGCATGAGATGAATTCATTACATGAAAACAGGACAGTCAGTTCTAAAATGAGGGAGGTAAGATGACTCAGAGAAAAATTAGCTGACGATTTTTTTTAATTCCTGATCATACTAACTCTTAATTTCTGTTTTCTTAAAAGGCATCTACACCGATGAGGAAACACTGAGACCGATTCAACGATGGATCCTGGCAAATCTAACCTGGAGTTTTGACATCTGGACTTCTCAGATGATTCTACTGTATTCAACACTTCTCCACATGCACAATTTGGATCCATATTACCAAGCAGACAATGGAAAACTGATCTGAGACAGCAAATTGTCCCATAATCCATCTGGATTTTGGATTTTCTTAATTGTTTGGAAATTTCATTCATGTGGGATCAAGTTTACAACTGGGAAACGTCATGCGAACAGTACTCCAGGTTGGATGATTGTCTTTCTTCAGCACCGTCATGAATTCTGACCAGGATATCCCATTGGCTTGTCTAGCCAAAGGAAGACGACATGCAGACAGACTTATTTTTTCCCAGAAACTTGTGGCTTACACTGAAATGGAGTGAGACTTTAGATTTTTCTTTCTTCCACCTTTGGCTTGTAAAAAAAAAACAAAAAAAACAGCAGATCCAAACAAAGGTCATTAACCTCACACTGAACCTGGAGCCTCTGATTGGCACATAAATGCAGCTTTACTGTTTTGCAGCAGGAGGACGTCCGGTTTCAGCCTTCTGAGGTGTGGACAGAGCGTGAGCGAGGCAGTTGGCTGGCTAAGTCAGCTCCAATGGGGGCCGGTTGTGACCCGGTCTGACCCTGGTTTGACCTTGCAGTGACCTTTGACCTCTCCGGTCCTGGCTCTCCACCTGCTCTGCTGCCTGGGTTCGGGAACGCTCCGCCCTGGGGCGCAGAACGAGCCAATCAGAATGAAGAAGAGCCGCAGCGTGCTGTCGGTGACTGGAGAAGAGGTGAGCGTATAAACAACCAGGGATATACATGAGAAAACCTGCCAACTTCATCACTTGTTACAGGGCGAGTAGATACCAGGCAGAGCAGACTGACAGACTCCACTCTTTCTCTCTGTGTGTGTGTGTGTGTGTGTGTGTGTGTGTGTGTTTTCTTGAATGTCTACCATGACGTACAAACCTCATGACTTTCACACATCCAAGCTCCCTTTGTTCTTGTCGTCAGATTCTGTGAATGCACTCAAAAGTCAGAGTGGACAGTTTGTCTCCTCCTGCCCTCACTCACACTGAGCGAACCATTCAGTCTGTCACAGTCCTCTATGTAAAGGAGCTATTTTCTTTTAAAGGTAACGTCTTGGCTGAAGGACACAACACTATGCATTATTCAAGTGCTTTTTTATTGATTATGCTGAGCGGGTGTCCATACATTTGTGAATGTGTGTATACTGTATGCATGTATCTGTGTGTGTATGTGTGTGGATGTGAGCGTCTTTCCACATCTGGGTCTGGACGACATCAAACGCAGCATGGAAGCAACACGGCACTGTTGCCTAGCAACTGCTACCATTCCCCCAGTGTTTTGTTGCTACGGTACTGCAGTGCAGATCAGCCTCCAAGAGCTCAGTCTGTAGAGGCCTTATCCCAGAAACACACACACGCATGCATGTAGCCGAACACACACACAGTCACACATGCATGCAAGAACACATACATTGATAATTTATGGTCTTTGTTTTTGTGGAAATTTCTTCACTCATCAGAATTTAAAGATGACAAATCAACATGGTTTGGTAAATGTGCAAAAATGACAAGAGTGAATGATATGTCCTTTAAATTTTATCCCTAAATACAGTGCGTGTATATACAAAGAAAAAATGTTCTTTTATCCTCTGAGGATATATCTCTCTCGCTCCATTTCCCTGTTTTCCTCATCTGCCCTCTCTCCTGTCTCACAGGGCAATGACACAGACATAACAGGTGCTGGGGAGAAGGCGGAGTCATCTCGCTACAGCCGATCCTATACGTCTGGGGCCACGCTGGGGGCTGAGCTACGCAGAGGGAGGAGCAGAAGACTCTCGTCTAGTCTCCAGGTATTGAAAGGAAGCTTGGGCACATTAAGCAGGTCGGGGGCTGTGGAGCAAAAATGAGCCATGGGCCCCTGTTGACAGCCACCTTTCCTGTTTGTGCTCCACATACACTGCCTACAGTGCGTCAAAGTGAACAGAGCCATGTCAAAGCAACATGGACAGTACTTTACTGAATATTACAGCTAACCATTTTGAAAACTATGTTACTGTGTTTTACAAATTTTCCCAACATTGCACTGATCTACTGGTTTTTCTTAGATTCTATTATATTAACTCTTACTTGATAAATGCAGTCTGTGCTTCACATGCAGTATTTAACCATGCAACAATGATGCAACACTGTAAACATTGTATACAATATGATAAATTAAAGCTGTATACTACTAGATCTTAACGAATAGTTCAAATGACTGAATGTGAAAGGAGTCCCCTCGTAGTAACGGAGCTTCACTTATCCACTTTCGCTCATTGTTTCGGTTTCACAGCCTCCATTCGTTCTGTTTTGTTTCAGCTCATTGAAGCTGTTCATTAGCTATGATAAGCACCCTGTACACTACAAGCCCAGCACCAAAGAGCAGACAAAGTTAGTAGCTAGCTGGTGAATATAGTGGAACATTTAGCTTCTGAAGACGTATTTACCTTAAGAGTTGGCGAAGACCAAAACAAAGCTGAAAAAAGAGGAAATATTACTTTTGAATAATACAGGTGAACAAGAAACGTGACACCAACTGAATGATAATGTTGCTCCGTCTCAGCTTGATCTGTAAAAAGGGAATTGTTTGCTAACATGCAACTTTATAATGTCATGATATATCAGTGTTGTGTTTACAGCTTGTTAGGCTGCCCCCTAAGTGGGGAAAAAAACAGTTATTTCAACTTTAAGGTCACATTATCCGACCAAACAAGCTGTAAACAAGCTGAAGAAGCTGCCTCCAAGTGGCCAAGAATAAAAATTAATTAATCAAATCAAAGTTTTTATACAGTGGCTACTTGGAACTACATCTAAGCTATAAAACTTAAGTGAATGTATTTGAAAATGTGCAAAAAACATGCAAAAACATTGGCTAGACTAGAGTTACAGCAGTGCATAATGAATACATTTTTATAATGATAATTACCTTAAACCAGATGATAGTGAACCTGGACCTTTTGTGGCAGTTGCTTGCTTTGGTCATAATCCAGGCTTGTATGGAAGAGAGACTGAGTGTAAAAGCTGCTCTGAACACCTGCAAAGTGACAGGTGTCCACTATCCTCTATAATACAAACCTTACCTGCCAACTCTGCAGGTGCCCTGCTGGCTCCGCCCTCGGGATCGCACCCGTTCACCAGAGGTCCTGAGCAATGTGTCACGTCCCACAACTCTTCCTCTCCGGATCCCACCACGCATCTCCATTACGCAGGCAGACACTGACAGGTTGACACACAATTAAACCTTTCTTCATTCTCCCGATTTCACCTTACAGTAAAACTCTGCAGGATGTTTCATTTCTGTCCTCTACGATCACCACTCCTCCTCTTCCAGTTATGAAGCAGAAAATGGCGTTTCACCAGGTCACACCCCTCTGGGCTCGCAGAGTCCAGGCCTCACCCTGCACACCTCCTTCCCCCAGGGCCAGAGAAGAGAGTCCTTCCTCTACCGCTCCGACTCGGACTACGACATGTCACCCAAAACGGTCTCACGTAACTCCTCCCTCGCCAGCGAAGGGTGAGGCTCAGGAGGAAAGACTGAAAGAATGAGTGGGAGGGAGAGGGGGAGGGGAAGTATGTATGTGTGCACTGAAATGTTGATATTTTCATGAGAAATATTCCTGTCACCTCTGACTCCCTGTTTCTCTTTTCCAACTCTTTCAACTGTCACTCCTCCTCATAGGCACACAGGAGAGGACTTCATTGTCACACCTTTTGCTCAAGTGAGTTTACTTTAGAGATAAGTCATTTGTTTAGATAAATGGACATATATATTGTGTAAAAAGTTTCATGCTACTTTCAGTAAATGATTTCTCAGCTAATTATGTATAATTTTAACCCAAAGATTTGGTATATATCCTGATGTCTCATGACACTGTTTGATGATTTTAGGTACTGGCCAGTTTGCGATCAGTACGGAGCAACTTCACCATCCTTGCAAACGTCTCCACACCAACAGTCAAGTCAGTATCAATCATTATTGCCCTGAAATGTCCCACTAATGCACAATATGATAGTATGTTGTCCTTTGTGTAAACGGTCAAAGAGGAAGTTCAGACTTCTTAAATCAGACTGATAACAATCTACTTAATACAGCATATGACCTAAAAATGCCACTACTGACATACTCATGCATACATTTTATGACTACAGTTGCATCATTAGGTGACTCATACAGTCTGGGGCAGTAGTCATACAGTACTACAGTGCACTCGTTCTCAGCACCTCCAAACACCTGCTTCTACCCACAGTCCCCTGCAGCTGCAGAAAGGTGGACTTGACATTGACATTAAATGCAGATTATTATTCCCATCTCAAACATTCTTACATGTCATACTGAATGAAGAAATGAAAAGAAATCAAACAAGCACCTTTCTTAAGTTAAAGAGAGACAGAGAGAGAGAAACTTGTATGTTGTATCTTCTATGCACCCTCTGTTCAATTCAATTCATTATAACTTTGTTTATCCCTTAAATAAAGTCAAAGCCCATATACTTAAAAAATATGTGGAACTGGTAACAGACACATAAATAAATAACTATAAATACCTTTAAACAAACAATATAAAATGATAGACAAAGTAATGAGGCTGCTGTGAACTTCTCCTTGCTGGTCTAACTAACCACTGTGTTTTTTAGGAGGTCTCCTCTGGGTGGAGTGTGCGTCAGTCCCAGGGCGACGCTATCAGATCAGCAGTACCAGCAGCTCGCCCTGGACACGCTGGAGGAACTGGACTGGTGCTTGGACCAGCTGGAGACCATTCAGACACATCGCTCTGTCAGCGAAATGGCTTCCAACAAGGTACACAAGGATCAGACTGCATTTCTTTTATGCCTCAATATGTATTTTGACACTTTTTATACAATTAAAAAGTATTACATATATTTATCAGTTAGTTGTAATGACTTCCTGTCATTTCTAATTAATTCATTGTTCAACTGTGAAACATTTACATATCTGTCAAAATTTTTGAATAACAAAATTTGAGTTTAAAAAAACATAAAATTATTGCCTAAAATGTTTGTCTTCTACATATTAGCTATAGTTTTTTATGCTCAAATACTTGTTGTATATTGTTATAGGCCTCCACTGTAAACCATTCTGTAGCTAAAAGCTAAAATCAAATGCATGTTTACCAGGGACATGTACCACCTTTCTATCAGCACTATGACCAGTGCAACTTTAAACCTTGGGACTTACTTAATACCCCAAAACAGACTACAGTATATTAAATATTAGCTCTAGGTCTTTACTGAAAACTGACAGATTGCTTCTGTTTTGTTCTCTTTCCAACACAGTTTAAGAGAATGCTGAACAGAGAGCTGTCCCACCTGTCAGAGATGAGTCGCTCTGGTAACCAGGTGTCTGAATACATCTCCAGCACCTTCCTGGGTGAGTGGGACCAGAATCTGATCTCCGTCCAAACCATATTTATGACCTTTAACAATAAATCCTTACGCGTGTGTTTGCGTTTTCCCATCAATCTGTAGACAAGCAGAATGAGGTGGAAATTCCGTCTCCAACCCTGAAAGACAAACCTATGAGTCACATCAGTGGAGTGAGGAAACTGTCTCACAGCTCCAGCCTCTCCAGCACATCAATGCCTCGCTTCGGTGTCAACACAGACCACGAGGACGAGCTTGCCAAGGTCTTGTTGTCTGTCTGGTGTTCTCTGACTCACATAAAATAAGTTACACAATCCCTGTTCAGATGTTCTTTGAACATTTGATTCTTTCCCAGTAAACAGTTTTATTCAAAAGCTTCTTTGTCTCCTCCAGCAGTACAGAGCACAGTACAAGTGTCCTCTGTACTTCTTAAAAAACATAATAGAATATCATCATACATTAGGTTATAATTATTTTACTGAAAAGGCCTCTCAATAACACATTGTGCAAACATTTGTTAAGTTCATGTCTGCATCACATACAGAAGGAAATTCTCACTGAATCTTTTATTATGCCTCTGTCTGCTTGTTAGAGCTCGGCGCCTCATTGTTTAATTTCATCCAGTCTGTAGAACCAAATGTTTGGAGAGCCCACAGTAGGATGGAGACCGTCTCTTAGCTCTGCATCTTCATGAAGCAGCGCATGAGTCAGATGAGACCGTTCCAGATACAAATATAAATGATTTATGGTTTTTCATTGTAAGTAACAGAGGCTGCAGATATTCCCAGTACATCTCTTGACACCCTTTCACTGAATGATCAAGGTTATTTTTAGTGACATGAAAGAGATGTGCGCTTTGTGGTCACTGTTATTTTCATTATCGAATAATATGACTATTATTTTCTCAATCAACCATCAGGAAATTGTGAAAAAACTTGTGAAGATGCCCAAACACTTCAAACCCAAAGGTGTTAAGTTTACTATGATTGATTTTACTATGATTCATACTTAGAAGCTGGAATCAGTGATTTTTTTTGTTCATCTGGTTCAACATATGGATAGGTTTCATTGGTTGTTTTGTTTTTTTTTCAGTTTAATCATATGGGATTCTGACATTATGCCTGATGGTTAAATTTGATTTATTATGTCTCCCTGCCTTTAATTCTTCTGTAAATTTAAATGTCTTGAAACCCTCTGAACAACTCTGCTTGAGACGCTTTCAAAATAAATCCATCCTATGTTTTAGAAGACGTGCGTAAGCTCTTAATGAAGCTTTCAGTGTGTTTGGGCTGTTATGATTTGTAGAATCTTTTTGTTTTTGTGACTCATCACTTAATATATGTTTATTGTGTCTGTGCTGTTTAACCAGGAGCTGGAGGATCTGGACAAGTGGAGCTTTAACATATTCAGAGTAGCAGAATTCTCCAACAACAGACCCCTCAGCTGCATCATGTACACCATCTTCCAGGTAAACAAAACGAGTGCGAGTGCGAGTGGGAGTGCAAGTGCGTGGCGTCCTTCTCACCTGCAGCCTTCGGGTGTTTGCTGCCGATGTGCACGACGTACTCCCGGTGGAGTGTGTGTGAAGTTCTGACTCCTCTCCTCTTCCTCAGGAGCGCGAGTTGCTGAAGACGTTTCGTATCCCGGTCGACACCTTTGTCACTTATGTGATGACCCTCGAGGACCATTACCATGGAAACGTAGCATACCACAACAGCCTCCATGCTGCAGATGTCACCCAGTCCACACACGTCCTCCTCTCCACACCTGCTCTTGATGTATGTAGACGTGCACTCTCTTTCTCTCACACACACACTTCATGCTTCCAGCTTCCAGGATGAGCTGCTTTTCCTTTTTATTTATTTTAATTTTCATCATTCTGAGTTCCCTGTATTGACTTTTACTTTTAATACTTTAAGTACATTTTTTTTCAAGGCGGGACTTGTAATGCGGAGTTTAATTTGTAAAAGACTTGCAATTAAGTAATTTTTATTGTGTGGTATTGGTACTTATTATTTTCTACATGCACGTGGGCACACACACACACACACAGAGAGAGGCAGGTTTGCGACAGATCTGGCCTCCCTCCCTGCCCAGGTCAGTCATGGGAAAATTTCTTATTATTCTGTCTCGGATTGACAAAAATACACCTCCTTTATAGAATACAATGAAGTGCAGCACAATAGAAATTTATTATCAAACCAAAGCTGGAAAATTATTCATGGCCTCACCCACAACACAGCCATAAATGTTTAAAGACAAGAAGTCACATGGAAAAAGAACATGAGAACCAAGGATGACTGTTGAGGCGTTCAGTTAAACATTCACAAACACCTTTTTTATTACGGTAAAACAAGGTAAAAAACTACATTACATGGTGACATTAGTAACATGTGAAACATGATCCGGATATTGTTTATTTTCACATGTAAGGACACAAGACACAAAAATTAAACAAAAGGAGGAGGTAGAACACAAAATCAAAACAAGGAGGAGTTTGAATCTTGTTTCAACGACAGAGTAACTGTCTTGCAAATAGTATTTTTTAAAATCAGGTTTTAATCTTATATTGTAACACAGATAATCATTCCTCTCCTGCCACATCCTGTCCCGTGCAGGCCGTCTTCACCGACCTGGAGATCCTCGCCGCTCTGTTCGCTGCAGCTATCCATGATGTGGACCACCCTGGAGTTTCCAATCAGTTCCTCATCAACACCAGTGAGTCCAGACACACACGCACACACAGTAAAAACGTGTGTAGGTATTTGCACCAAACAGTTTTCACACCTTTTCCTCTGTCCCTCCTCTCTGTGCTCAGACTCAGAGCTGGCCCTCATGTATAACGATGAGTCAGTTTTGGAGAACCATCATCTCGCCGTGGGCTTCAAGCTTCTGCACCAGGAAAACTGTGACATTTTCCAAAACCTCACCAAGAGACAGCGCCAGAGCCTTCGCAAGCTTGTCATCGACATGGTGAGGAGCTCCTTTACCACGACTCGCACAACATCACTGAAAGTATAAACAAACACTTCTTTAACTCCTGCGTGGGTTACTTTTGGTTTGTTAGCTGTGGTCCCTCTGTGGCGTCTTTTCATTGCTCTCACTTATCATTTGATGGTGTTAGATTTGTCTTAATAGTTTTATCTGCTGTTAGGTTGTCTTCAGGTGCCAGTTTATGTCTCTAGGGTTTAATCTCATTTATTTCTCTGTTCAAGCTTGTGCAGCTGCATTTTGTTTAATTCTGATCTTCTGAATATTTTGCGCTCTTTGTTTTTTGCTGTTATAACACTATAACACTTTTGAGTTTCTTTTGATTAGCTTTTCACTATCACTGATCCTCCATAAACTCACCATTTTCTGACCTTTTTTGGGCATATTTCACATGCTATATTTCTGCATTTTTGTGCTTTGTTCCTCTCACTGTTTGGAAGTGAATGGGGCTACATTTCAAAAGGGTTCAGGATTTAGCAACATTTATTGGTTGTTTTGTAACTGTCCGTCAGTCTTGACAAAGTAGATTAGCTGAGTTTCTAGGTTAACTCTTTATGACCTCTGATTGTTGTTTATTTAATGAATGAATATTTAATGCTATGGAGAAATATTGTTTGATTTGAATCAGTTTTTTCCAGCGGCTTTAAATTCAAGCTAAAACCAAAATAAAATCTAAAATATTTTTCTCTGCAGCTGTTCAGAAACCTTTTTAACACTGGTCTCTCTTTTTAATCTCTGGTCTCACTGAGTCTCTACAATAATGCAATAATTTATGAAAGTGCTTTTAACAGGAGCAGGTCTATAAAACAGTAGATTTTGAGAGGCAGCTACTGTTTTAAAACTAAAAGTTAACTGAATCTGAATGTACTCACATCACATACTGTCCCTATTTTCAGCTTAAACATGTTTGAGTTTAGTTTTTATTTGGCGGTTTAGGACAGAGAACAGTTTGGAATCTTTGCTTTAATCCTAGTTTTGTCTTTCTCTCCGTCTGTCTACAGGTGCTGGCCACAGACATGTCCAAACACATGACCCTGCTGGCTGATCTGAAGACCATGGTGGAGACCAAGAAGGTGACGAGCTCTGGTGTGCTCCTCCTGGACCACTACACAGAACGAATACAGGTAACCCGTCATCTGCACAAGCCAGTTCGGTGCTTCACACAGTCGTGCCTGTAAACTAAGAACGTCTCATGAAATCTAAACAGTTTGATATTGTTGCATGTGTGTAGGTATTGAGGAACATGGTGCACTGTGCAGACCTGAGCAACCCCACCAAAACGTTACCGTTGTACAGACAGTGGACGGAGAGGATCATGGAGGAGTTTTTTCGACAGGGTGACAAAGAGCGAGAGAGGGGGATGGAGATCAGCGCCATGTGTGACAAACACACTGCGTCTGTGGAGAAGAGCCAGGTAACGTTTGATCTCATCCTCCTCTTTAAATGTCTCTTTGTTGATTCAGTTCATCTAAAAAGATGAATGGTCGTCTTTGCTGTGTCATTGCGAAGTTGTGTAATGTCACAGTGGTTGGGGAAATCGCAAATTTCATGGTGATGATCATGTGAAATGACACCACACAGGAAGCCAGCGCCAGCAAAGAGGAACAGTGATTCTCACAAACAGTGAGCTTTTTCCTGAAAACACCATAAACTGCATCTTCAAAAAGTGCAATTTGAGTTGAGTCAACACTTCGGGCAGTCGTTCAAACTCTAACCTGTTGAGTGCAGTGAAACAGTATGAAGGGTTGTAGCATCTAAGCAATACATTTCCAAATTTAAACAAAAGCTGCTGAAAAGCAAAACCTCGATTTGAACCTGCAGAAACTGTTTACTGCTACATCTTGGTATTAATTAGACAGTTGGCAACAACTAATTATAAAGTGTTTAAGTGTTTTTTTTAATTAGTTTAATCATTTGTTCATATCACTAATGGTTGTAAACACATCTGTAAATTTTTTAATTTAAATCAGTTGACATTTACACTAAATTTTCTGTAGCGTGTATAACTCAAACTCTTGATTTTACTTGATCAATAACGCTGATGGAGCCTGTAACAAAGATATTTGTCAGTTGAATCCATGTTTCTATTTATTTTGTTTTGCATTGGTACAGGAAAGAGACAAACTTGGCAGTACACAATTTTCATTGTCCCCCAACAGAAACAGAAACAAAAAAACTTTTCATAAATCTGGCAGGAAAATTACTTCTGGAATAACTTATGATAAACTCTGGCAATGATTAATGTTTTGTTAAATTTTGGATACATGTATGACGAATGCATTTCTGTTTCAACGTCCAGCTGGCAGTGGCTACGGTCAGATCCCCCTCTTGATCTCCATGAAGTTAAACAGTGACATCTTCCCGTGTCAAGTTTGTGGTTACTGATTCTGTGCTTGGTTAAAAAAAAATCTTCTTTTGTTTTGAGATAATCTGCCAGTTGGACTTCCCTGTGCTTTAAAGGAATAGTTCGACTTCGCTGGAATGTACTCAAATACTGTACTACTGTATTTATTATTTTAAAATCACCCCACCCCAAATAAATCCAGTCCAAATTAACTAAAGGAAGCAAATAAGTGTAGAACTATTCCTTTAACTTCACCTAAAGCCTGGGGGAAATCCAAAGTCTTAACCACGTGCTTCTCCTTCTTCTCCAGGTGGGTTTCATCGACTACATCGTCCACCCGCTGTGGGAGACGTGGGCCGACCTGGTGCACCCAGACGCCCAGGAGCTGCTGGACACGCTGGAGGAGAACAGGGAGTGGTACCTGAACACCATGCCCCAGTCTCCCTCACCTCCCCCGGACAGACACCACCAGCATGACCGCTTCCAGTTCGAAATCACCCTGGAGGACCTGGAGCACAACAACCACAACCACGTGCACCTGAGGAACAGCGGCGACGGCAGCGATGCGGACGGAACGCAGGACGACCAGGCGGAGCCGAACGGCGAGGAGCAGAACCACACAGAAACTGAGAAAGAGGAAGACGAGGAGAATCACAACAGCAAACAGAACGGAGTCCAGGACGAAGAGGAGGAGGAGGAGGAGGTGCAGGAGAACTCCGCACATGAGGAACAGGGAGAGGAACAAGAAGAAGGAGGGCAGACAGATGAAATAGAAAAAGAAGAGGAAGTTAATGATGTAGTGGAAGATGAGCAAAATCAGGAGGAGGAGGCTGGCGAAGAAGGTGGAGAAAATGAGGAGGCAAAGGAAGATGAAGGTGAGGAAAACATAGAGAAAGAAGAGACAGAAGGGGAAACAGACGGAGAGAAAGAAGAGACAGAAGGGGAAATAGATGGAGAAAAAGAAGGTGAGGGGGAAGAGGAAACTGAAAATGAGGAGGCTGAAGTGGAGGAAAACAGGGAAGAGGAGTTGGAGGAGAATGCAGAGGAAAATGAGAATGAGGAGAAAGAGGAAGAAGAAGAGGCAGAAGTAGAGGATAAAGCTGAGGAAGAGGAGGGAGAGACTGAAGAAAATGTAGAAGATGAAGGAGAATTGGAAGAAGCAGAAGAGGAGGAAGAAGGGGAGGAGGAGGCGCCAGCTGAGGAAGAAGAGGAAGAGGAAAGTTAGTTGGGTGTAAAATCACAAATAAACCGAATCAGTGAGGAAAATTTAAGAAGAGACAAAGACGTGCATAAGGAAATGCAGAGAGGCTTCGACAGTCAGCAGTATGACGGAGGAGGACAAAGAGATGAAGACGACGTGCTCTGTGACCTGCTCAGATACAGACGTCCTAAACGAACTTCACAGCTCACAGACCGACAGTAGAGCAGCGGACACAAAAACAAAAACCTTCCCGGGAACAAACAGGTTGTTATAGCGTCTTGATCAACTGGTAGTGATAGAAAGACTAGAGTCTTCATCGCCAAGTATCTGTACATCCATCACTGCCGTCGGGGATAAACTGGGGACGATAATTAAAAAGGAGGGGGGGGGGGGGGGGGGGGGGGACCTGTTTTATCGACCTTTTGTAGCTCCTGAAATCTGAGAAAAAACCCTGAATACATGCATATAATTGCGTGCCTGTTTCTCGGTCTCATGGATTATTACCCATCGTCAATGTAACACACACACACACACACAGTGACTCATTAGACTCAAGAAACACTGTTTAAAGAATGTCAACTTCCTCTGTTTGTCAGAAAAGAGAAAAAAAATGCAAAAAAAAAAAAAAGTCTGGAAAGTGTAGTCTGTCGTCTTATATTTACTACAAAAACTTTCCACTCGTAAGCAGGATGCTGAGAACACACCGTCGGGCTCTGGTCTAGGAACAGTTCAATGTCCTCACATACTAACCTTAAAGCAACAATGCTGGATTTCTGAAACCACTTCTGAACAATAGCTGGACCGTTTTTCTCAAAGTGGAAACATTCACAGTCCAGCTCAAAAGGCTGACTTGTTGTACGTGTCGATGTCGGTCCCTGTTTAAATAAATAAATAAAAAAAAGAAAACACCCAGTACTCATCCAGTTACAGCAGCGTCACCTCTCCCAGACTGTGTGACTTTGATTCCCGGGTGAATTGTGCCAAACTGTCCCACGACCAGCACTGAGCAATTCAGCCGTCCTCCAACCAGGACGGCTACTCGTCCATGAAGCAATGAACTGTGGGACCAGGCTAACGGGTGTGTGATGGTCTTCCACAAGTCCCTTTTTTTTTTCGTTTTGTTTTTTTTTGTTTTTGTAAAAATGGTATTTGGCACTTTATCTAACACCCCTGTTACATATATGTACATAATAAACATGTATTTTAATCTGCTGATGTCATAATAAATATGATCAATGAAGTTAATGGATGGTGTTTTCAGTTACAAGCAACTTTCCTCTAGTAGTAGATTTTTTGGAAACACTCAGCAGTTTATTAGGAACACCCAGCTAAAACTAATGAAGTCTGACACAACAATCATGCAATATAAACTGCAAACTGAGTGTATTTTATCTGTCAATAATTTCCTTCCTTAGTGCTGTAGCTGGAACAAATAATTGGCATCAATTCACTCTTCAATTTTCAAGCAAAAAAGCCCCAAATTCTTTGTTTCCAGCTTCTCAAATATGAGCATATTTGTTTTCTTAAAATCTTGTATTACTGTCTGTGTTTTTGTTTTAGATTATCGGTGGACAAATAGAGCAATATGAAGGCCTCACTGTACAGTCTGGGGAATTGTTACAGGTATTTAACAAAAACATTTCACAAAATGATTAAGAAAATAATGAGTGGATGAATCAATTATCAGAATAATAATTCCTCCAATTCACAGTGTTGTCTTTAGAGCTGAAATGATTTATCTAATTATCTCATACAGTCAGATTAATCCATCTAAAAAAAAGAAATCCTTCTATATCACTATAGACTGAAGTATAATTGAGGGTCAGTTGAGGGCGATATTTCAGGGTGATTATATTTACAGAAAAAATGGGATGATTTGGTGAGACAGAATTTGAGACTATCCGATAATATCAGATTTCTCATTTATTGATGAGCAACGGACTGCTGAACTGACAGGCAGGAGGCAGACGAGCATTCAAAGAAAAGAGATTAGCCTTAAATCCTCTGACAAAACCTTAAGTGCAGTTTGTTTTGACAATTATAGATGCTCATAAAGCTTCACAGCATAAGACGAGTGATCGGGAAACACTGATCTGGTCACATTAACAAATAAACAGAGACTTGGTAAGAATCAACAGAAGCCTCAACGAACCGCAACTTTCACAAAACTTACATTCATTTAGAAAAAAGCTGCAAAATAAATAAGACCAAAGCGAATTAAGATACAGAAGAAATGTACTGCAATGACAGGAAACAGGCAGAGTACAACAAAACAGACGTTTCTGAGGGACACAAAAACTGATGAACATGCTACTAATTAGTAAAAGGCAACTAACAGGTGAAGCAATATCAGAAGTAATATCAGAAACGCACAATCATCATGTTAAAACTAAAACACGACTTTCTTTGCTTGTTCTTGTAAAAATTAACATTGGGTTAAAGTTGCAGTGTTTCGGTAATTGCATCTTTACGCACTGTAAAATTGAAAAATGTCTCCTCATTTGCTCATGCTTATCTATTTGCAACATTTAGAGTTGTTTTCTAAATGTTGCCTATGATTTGTGAAAGCAGTGAAAGATCTTTCCTTCATTTATTTTTTAAGTAAGCAGTGCTATTTAGCCTTCGTACAAATGAGCACTCTGATGTCACCTTTTATGAAAAAAGGCTAAATTCAAAATACAATAATCAGCTTGTGTAAAATGTGACATCGATCCAATCGTACTGTTACATGTTTCATTCATCTCCCACCTAAAAGCAGAAAATGTCAACTTGAAACAACTCAAATCCACACAAATACAAACTCTTTATGTCTTAAAGAGTTTGTATTTGCAAACTCTTTAAGACACATAGTCCTTCAGGCAGCCATGTCGTGCAGAACTTAATTAAAATAAATACATATTCAAGAATATTTCCATCTCAAGGCACTTTGGGAATTTTGAATGTCAGATGTGCATAAAAGCAAATAAATACTTTCATATGTAACCACATATGAAATTCACATGTATCCAGCTACATGCCAACACATACATGGACTCTACAAATAGGCAGCAGTCACAATAACAGCACTAAGACAAAAGCAGAATACTGAACCCTGAAACGTGTACAATCAGGGATGTACCAAACCCACCTGACATGACACACCTGTACCTTCTGATGTATGAAGTAGAGTTTGCCCATCTTTTTAGAGTAATATGTCTTTCTGAGATTACATCTTGCATCATGCATGCTGTAAATTATGAAATGATGCAGAAAAGTCATATGTCTGTTAATACAGACTTCATATTTGCTTGTTGTGGTGGTTGTTTACCTCATGATGACTGACTCCAGGTGTGTGTTGCTTGTTTCCCACCTTTTTGTAGATCTTTTCTCTCTTTGGCTCCACTTTACTATCTGTCCTCAAAATCTAGGTTTGAGTTCCTGTGCAATTTTTTACATCCATGTGTCTGAAGTTTTCAGTGGCCAATCAAAAACGTCCAGTCCGGGAAGTTGTCGATCTCTCCCGTCTCATTCAGCTGTTGATCGCCGTGTGTCAGTGTCAGCTTGTAGCGTAGACGCACTTTACGCTGAAAAGAAAAAACATTTTTTTTAAATGAGGTACTATGACTTCTTTAATGCTTTACTATGCTCTGACATTTGACACTTTACTATATCATGACTTCCCAGGCCTGGGGCCTATGTGGAGTTTGCATGTTCTCCCTGTGCCTGCGTGGGTTCTCTCTGGGTACTCCGGCTTCCTCCCACAGTCCAAAGACACATTACGTTTATTGAAGACTCTAATGCCTTACACTACTATGACATTTTTATGCCTTACTATACTATGACTTTTTATGCCTTACTATACTATGTCGTTTTTATGACTTTTTATGCCTTATTATATTATGACGTTTTTATGCCTTGCTATACTATGACTTTTTATGCCTTTTTATGCCTTACTATACTATGTTTGTATTCCTTACTATACTATGACATTTTTATGACTTTTTATGTCTTATTATATTATGACGTTTTTATGACTTTTTATGCCTTAATATACTATTATATTTGTATTCCTTATTATACTATGTCGTTTTTATGACTTTTTATGTCTTATTATATTATGACGTTTTTGTGACTTTTTATGCCTTAATATACTATTATATTTGTATTCCTTACTATACTATGTCGTTTTTATGACTTTTTATGCCTTACTATTCTATGACGTTTTTATGACTTTTTATGCCTTATTATATTATGACTTTTTATGCCTTAATATACTATTATATTTGTATTCCTTAATATACTATGTCGTTTTTATGACTTTTTATGCCTTAAATTACTATGACGTTTTTATGACTTTTTATGCCTTACTGTACTATGTTTTTATGACTTTTTTTGCCTTACTATATTATGACTTTTTATGCCTTAATATACTATGATGTTTGTATTCCTTACTATACAATGACTTTTTATGCCTTACTATACTATGTTTTTATTACTTTTTATGCCTTACTGTACTGTGATGTTTTTGTACCTTACTATACTATGACTTTTTATACCTTAAAATACTATGATGTTTGTATTCCTTACTATACAATGACTTTTTATGCCTTACTATACTATGACTTTTTATGCCTTACTATACTATGACTTTTTATACCTTAAAATACTATGATGTTTGTATTCCTTACTATACAATGACTTTTTATCTTGTCTTGCTATACTATGTCGTTTTTACAACTTTTTATGCCTTATTATATTATGACGTTTTTATGCCTTCCTATACTATGTAGTTTTCATGCCTTACTATACTATGTCATTTTTATGACTTTTCATGCCTTAAAATACTGACGTTTTTGTGACTTTTTTTGCTTTACTATACTGAGTTTTTATGACTTTTTATGCTGTCCTATACTATGTTGTTTTTATGCCTTACTATACTGTGATGTTTTTATGACTTTCTATGCCTTAATTTAATATGAAGTTTTTATGACTTACTGTAATGTTGTTTTATTATGCCTTTGAATACAATGACTTTTTATATCTTACAATACTGTGATGTTTCTGTGCCTTATTATACTATGAATTTGTATACCTTACTATACTATGTTATTTTTATGACTTTTTATGCCTTACTATACTATGTTGTTTTTATGACTTTTTATGCCTTACTATACTATGTTGTTTTCATGCCTTACTATACTATGATTTTTTTTTATGACTTTCTATGCCTTAATTTAATATGAAGTTTTTATGACTTACTGTAATGTTGTTTTATTATGCCTTTGAATACAATGACTTTTTATATCTTACAATACTGTGATGTTTCTGTGCCTTATTATACTATGAATTCGTATACCTTACTATACTATGACTTTTTATGCCTTACTATACTATGATGTTTTTATGACTTTCTATGCCTTAATTTAATATGAAGTTTTTATGACTTACTGTAATGTTGTCTTATTATGCCTTTGAATTCAATGACTTTTTATATCTTACAATACTGTGATGTTTCTGTGCCTTATTATACTATGAATTCGTATACCTTACTATACTATGTCGTTTTTATGACTTTTTATGCCTTACTATACTATGATGTTTTTATGACTTTTTATTCCTTAATATAACTTTTTATGCCCTACTATACTATGACTTTTTATGCCTAACTATATTATGTCGTTTTTATGACTTTTTATGGCTTACTATACTATGACGTTTTTTTGACTTTTTATGACATACTATACTATGACTTTTTGCGTACGATATTATGTCGTTTTTGTGCCTTACTATACTATGACGTTTTTATGACTTTTTATGCCTTACTATACTATGACTGTCGCCTTGTCCAGCTGAAGCCCCCCACCCATTTTTATGAATTTCATGATACTGTATTAATAAAGATTGTTCCTTTTTGTACACTATCCCTTCCCTCTGTGTGTTTATTCAAGGGTTCTGACATTTTTAGCACTTATTGCTGGAGTAAACCCACATTTATTACACTATACTATGACTATTTATGCCTTAAAATACTATGATGTTTTTGTGACTTTTAATGCCTTACTATACTATGTCGTTCTTATGACTTTTTATGCCTTACTGTACTATGTCGTTTTTATGACGGTTTATGCCTTACTATACTATGTTGTTTTTATGACTTTTTATGCCTTACTAAACTATGACTTTTGACTTTTTATGCCTTACTATACTATGA